AATGTGGGAATTGGGGATTAAAGCAATTTCCGCAACGACACTTCATCTGAAGACGGATGCATGCGGGATCAGTTGGGAGACAGTGCAGACCATGAAATGACTGAACTTCAATAGTGAATAAGCGCACAGAGCTTCTCGTTAGTGATGGCGTGGTGCAGTCTGAAAAGTTGGAGAGAATCAAATAGTTGGCCCGCCTGAAATGTCTTGATAAAAACTAGCAAGTGCCAGTTTATTTAGAAGATAAGTCGGCTGCATGCCGGCCGGTGGCCGAATGGTTTGTACGCGTAGATTGCAATCATAAGGTCACCGGTTCGAATCCGCATAGGGGCGGGCGTCCTCGCGGTATACTCAGCCCACGGGCGACTGATGGTCGCGCGGCAGCGAAGCGCTATTATGGCGTAAAGCCGATGATTTATATTTTCTGATCAGTTTCAGTAGACAGGACAGAAGTTTATTCGCAATGAAGTCAGGAAATATCATGTGGAGACCCTACTTCTTGAAACCGTATAGTGACAACATGGTTGGAGAAAGTAACCCTAACGGGCGAAGGAACAGCGTGAAATCACAGCCCGGTACTGTCTTATGCAATGGGTAGTCTCGGTTATTTAAAACAATCAACAAGTTGAACAGCGCTGATGAAACGAAAGCACGTAGCAGCAAAATTCTCGTTAAGTGGAGCCCATGTGGGACAGGGATAAGGCTAAGGTGATCATATGGGGGTGGCAGTCGAGGTTAGAGAGGTACACGCAGTATAAGTGAACCAGAATACGCTTTGAACAGGCAACGAAGCGGAACTTATGCGTAGTGGGTCTGAAGTACTTACTGAAGCGATAGTAGACTGTTAGTTAAAGTTGAGTCCCTTACGACGACTAGTCGTGCTCTACGTGTGACCGCCTGGAGGCGCTTGAATCGCCCAGCCTCAATACGCGCTGTTGAGTGACAAGGTAAATAAAGGTGAGAAATCAGATGGAGGAGTTGGACTGCACATTTTTGGATGGGTGCCAATTGTGTAACCACATAGGCGGGTGGAATGAAGAATATCAAGCCTGGCATAAGAATCAAATAGTCAGGCAAGCTAACTAAAGTTTTTTTTATAACCTCCCACTTTCCTTGTTCACATGATACAAATTCATATTGCTACCTCTTTTACTTTCATTTCAGCAGATTCACGAATTGAATAGGGTCTGAAATTTAGTGGAAATGGATCACCGTGAAGTGACCAAATATTTCTTTCTCAAAGGAATGCCACTAGCTGAAATTCACCACGATATGCATGACAATGTCCCTTGATATGCCAGTTAAACGTTGGGTGCAGGAATTCAAGTGCGGCAGGAAGAGTATTGAAGATGAGCCCAGATTAGAGAGACCATCAACAGCTTCCACCAAAGAAAATCTTGATCTGGCGGTGGATATGATCATGCAAGTTCGACGATTAACAACTCGTCAGATTGTGGAGGTTTGGCATCTCCCAAGAGCGAGCAGATAATATTATTACGGAGTTGGGTTACTCAAAATCGCACTCGACGTGATATCAAAGAACAATTTGAAACTGTTTGAGGCAGATGTCGATAATTTCCTTGAAGAATTCCTCACTATGGAAAGAAAAGCAATGGAGACGTGCATCATCAACACCAAAGGAGGCCAAGGTTATGTCGTCAGCTGGCAAGGTGATGGTATCCGTTTCTTTGGAGTTCCGAGGTGTGGTGATGATTGTTTTTCTTGGAAAAGATCACAGTACCATTAGAAAGTATTACTGTGGGCTTCTGAAACGTCCCAGACAAAAAATTCGAGATAAGAGGACAGGAATACTGACGAGAGGAGTCATTTCCCAGTGGCAACTCTCCAGCTCACACCTCTTCCATCGCTCAGAAAACAATCCACTGGGATAAAGGCGTTCAGCACCGCTGAAATAAGTGTGTTGCGCTTGAGGGTGATTAGGTTGCGATATAGAAGCATCGAAGAATCTGTATCTCGTTCGGCCTTTGAGGTTCGACACTTTTCATTAACCCTACGTAAGTGCTCGTAAACTCAACCCGAAACGACGCAGTCGAGAAACCAACGTTGCGACTGCATCCGTCCCTCTAACCTTAATCGACGGCATTACCACGAGAAAATTTGTTGATTCTTCTGCATTCATTCTGTTTTATTTTCGATTCAATAGTCGTTTTGCTCATCTGCTGGTAATTTTTATAAGCAGAGTAGCTGTATCTACTGAACCTTAATGTTTCGTATCGAGCACGAAACGAAAATATGTAGACCAGTTGGCGGTGGTGTGATTACCTGCTGGCCCTCGCATAGGCGGTAGATGAGAAAATCTGCTGTTTGAAAGCAATGTCAGATTCAGATGAACCGTTAACAAGAATCAGCAAAAGTTGTCTCACTATGAGGTGGACTGAATGGAAGGATGACTGCGGCCCCTCAACGATGCTTCTGAATTCCGCTATTAGGCCTCGGAGTGGCCGACAGAAAACTACACAGATTTCAGATATTTGCTTATACTGAGTCTAGCTGTGGTGAATTGCATATAGTAAACGGTTGCGATCTCGTTTCCACAACAAAACAGTGTCGTTTAGAGGTTGTCGATGCCGAGATGGCGCTTCAGAGAAGTCACCTTTCCGTGACGACCGCCCTAGCCAGGGAGATGGTATAATTCTGTCATCGCAACGATATACAATGCCAGTCAGTGGGTGATCCCGAAAAGCGGGTTACCGACTTGCAATGGTGCAGTCTGCGGCCAATAACTGACGACAGCTTCTTCGTGACAGTTGTTTATAGCTCAAATTGCCCATCCCACAGATAGATTCCCAAAGGGCATCGACCATGGTAAAAATTTTACATACAAGTTACACTTATGTTCTTATCTCAGATGGCTTTCACACTGTATGGAAGCTTCGAGATCCTGTAGTGAAAAATTCGAGGTCGTAAAATTTTATCGCTAATACTCCACTGAACGCCAAACAGAGCTGACAACAAACCAGGCTTACTAGGCCCTACACTTCCAAATGAAAGGTTTATGATGAGTAAACCGTTGAGACCCACCCAGGATCCAATGACCTTGTGAACATATTTTACAGATGTGCTGCGCTGAATACCCGAAGGAACACACTGAACCGACGCACAAAAATATCGTGACAGAACTGGAGCTGAATATAGTTGGGTCTTGAACTTAAATAACAAACTGCTACGCCGACAATGTCTAGACATAGATCGCTAGAGGCGTCAACAATATGATAGTAACAAAAAACCGGTTATTTTCACCAAGACCCAGTCGTTCATTAGGAGCAGAAATCGAAAACCCATGACAACAAAGGATGCAGCGTGGCATGTGTCTGCGGAACCCATCTCGGTCTCGAAACCTAGAGAGACCACGTGGTCTAAGCGCATCAATTGTGGTACGCTAGTCCATGAACACCAAGTGCCAGGCCAACGATACCTAGCCAGAAAATTTTACAATAACAAAAGGCTATACATGCATGTTAAAAGCATTCGCATCGCTTAGCACAATTGTCCGGGTGAGGCAGAGCGCTGGAGAGGCGGCCAAAGTCTAATAGATGCAATATGGCTCGACTTATCATAGTGAGGTCAGTCAGCATCATGAAGGCAAAGCCATCGTTCTGACTCCAGGACTTGTTCACGTCACGTTTAACACCAAAACTTAAGTAAGAAACTGCTTTCCTCGAGCAAATATAATGCTCCTGGATTCTATATCATTTACCCGGGGAGATGAAGCAAAGCTAGGAGTTCCGTCACTATACCTCCTGCGGATGCGCCAAGATGAACAAGTGGCGCATGATATGCAGAAGTATAGCGTAATTACGCTAAACTCTAGGAAGGGCAGTCGTTTAGAACTTGTGAGAAAGCGCTCAGTGACCCGCCCCCGTGCTCACAAAAGCAACGGAAGTCACCGTCGTTGTGGACTTAATCGACCACTTAGGGTATTGTAACATCGTAGTATCGGAGCAACACGGTTTTCATTAACACTAGTCATAAAGTAAAACTTGCTGATTTCACGCGGTAGTTGAAGGGGAACGGCTGATAAAAGGATAGTTATGGATGCCATTCACCTTGAATTTCAAGGGCCTGCGACCACTGAATCACCCGATTCGTCTCCACACGCTAAGGAATCGAGAGTCATGTCCTTCGGTGGATCGAGAATTTCCGTTGACAGCTGCAGATTAGAAATCGGGTTGCGTTATCTGATCCGAAACAGTGACCTAGCGGATCCCGCAGCATCCCGATCATGTTTGCAGTCATCTAGTGCAAACTGCACATGAAGGGCTAACAGCTAAATTTGACCAAGCCACAAGGCCAGTTAGGATGTCTCTGAAGTTTAAATTTTCGCATGTGCTCACAATGAGACGCCCTCCGGTTGTTACTGCCTCCACATTACTTATGTCTAACAAATACCTGCCTTACGAAAGATAGTACTTTGAGAGACGGAAGTATGAAACAAACAGGGTGCACACTGGCATTCCTCTCACAATCAATTTAGACTGCTATACGTTTTCCTTCGTGTTAACGCCATGTTGGGGATAGCAAAACGCTTTTCATTTTGCCGCCACACTTTACCTCCCCAGCTTGTAGTTTCCATTCTGACTATCCCATAGGACTTGCTAAGCAGTTAGATTAAAAAAACCCATAATACACCACTGTTCCATTGACACCACAACTTCGCATCTTCCTTGCAAGCGGTCTCTGTATTGCATGCTAAAAATATCGTGTCAAAGGGTCAACTTCTGCAAGTACTCGACGTCGTACAAAGTGCGAGGCGGCCAAGGACCATGTTTCTTGGGGACATAGAGTGGTTCATTGGCCTAGCCCATCCAATTTGCCCGGGAAATAACCACAGCATACAAGACCAGATGTGACTGGATACAGCAAGCATTAAAGAAAGAAAAGGAAAGGCGTCGAACAACTATACAGAGAAGTGTAATAATACATGTGAAATGCACTAAAAGATGATCTCGTGTGGTAACAATCGATTTGGTGGAAAGGAAACATTACAGCGTCAGCCGCAATAGATCTGCAAAGCGCTCCACGGCTTGTTCAAAGCCAAATGCCTCAGAGGAGTCGCCAATAAAGATCCCATTTCCGAAGAAGTTAGTCGAACGCGTAGCTGCAGCGGCCATCGATGCAAGCGCTGGGGTGTGGGGAGACGAATCCCGAGGATTGATCCGTTGTCGTTGGGTGCTGGGAGAACGACTTTCTGGACTGTGGGAAGAATGAATGGTGCTAGACCGACGGCTGAAAGATTGGCTTCGACGAGAAGATCGACCAAAAGGACAGGAGGCACCCTGTGTACAAAAGTCGGTGAGAAGGTGTAAGACACGGATTAAAAGCCAACTCGGGGTATTCGGACAGTAAAACGGACCAAAGCTTCAAAACAAGTGAGTGCTTTCGACAAATGTACCCCGGAAGCACAACTACCTATGTGTTTGGATGTAGGCATGCTGTCTTGACTTGGAATGTGCGTCAGTTAGGTACAAATAATGATCAAATCGGTTACTAAGACTGCATCCAAAAAGAGAGGAGCGCTTATGTCACAAACAAGACCATGACAACGCTTTCCGGTGTCGTTGGCTAGCAGAGATCAAGGTGAGTTCGGTGGATGGAACTGCTTCACCTCAACGCTTAATAGAGCAGCTTGATGGATGGTCTAAGGGAGTACTGGATTTTCCTCTACGCATTGCAAGGAGAATACAACACAAGGTTTTGTAAGGATGAACGAAGAGGAAAACAACACACTAGGTCTCCTCTAGGGTCTGTAGTCCACTTGGTAGACAAGAGCACGTGTGTGATTTAAATAAGCTGCAAAATTCGTGTGAAATCTATGCGCTCTAGATTCAAATCGGTGCATCCGAGTGTGCATATGGTGAATACTGACCGCCTAAAGCTGAAGTGAGTAGGAAAGGCCTAGTCAAAGTGGAATAGAGGGTTCAGCAGCACGCCGATGCATTCATTGCCACGCAATCACCACCTGCGGCGTGTGAGCTAGGTAAGCCCTGAAGTCGCCTGCGTCTACATGGATTTGAACCGGTAACCTCCGGATTGCAAGGCGGGCGTGTAATCCTTTAGGCTACTGGTGGATAGTCATAGGGAAATAGATCAGGGATCAACTTAGAGAAATGAAGAGCCCTCGCAAATGTTTGGAGGAAGCGATTTAGAAAGAGTGTGGCATGAGTGTTGCAATGAGCAAATATTACGAAGTTGTCGGTTTAACCTAAACAATCATGGGAGACGCACACTCGCGATCAAACGTCATACACAGTGCGGAGGGACAAAAGTGGTTCATTGCATACCAACGGAAGTACTGAATTTAACAAACTGGGGCAACACTCAGAGAAAAGGTGCGGACATGACAAAAAGTTTCGACAGTTTCGCTTTGCCACAACACAATAAAAACGCGCTTTGTATCGGGTCGGAATGGCACAAACGAAGGGAAGGATGGCAATTAAGCTCACCAACGGACCCTGATATGTGTGTAAGCACCAAGCGCAAGCCTAACAACGTGTGGTGACGGATACGTACGAGGTGCTAGTATAAATGCCCATTGTTTAGTGTCCGATTTTGATGTGTTAGCAGCCAGAGAGTGACAAGTAAAGTGCACGGAGTGTGCTCGGAGTATGCGTCTATGTGGAGACACAATCACATTGACATCTCAGATATGAGCAAACTGGTGGTGAAGTGTTCTGTTAAGTGCTCAACAGTTTGGCAATAACAGAGGAAGTTAGTGAGACTATTAGCCCAGAAACGTTCTTCTCGAGGGTTATAGGAATTCGTGGGTTTAAATGTGATCGAATGCAGGGAGGAACAGACAGTAAAAGTTATGCGGACCATCAAGTGTGGATCGGAAAACGCGGTAATTCAAAACAAAGGGGCTCGTTACCAAGCGGACATTAGTTGTTGGGCGCGGACGAAATGTATTCCGGAAATTACCATCGTTAGCGAGCCCGGGTCCAGTAGGTCACTAAGCCGATGTGGTAGGAACTACGCTACAGAGGTGCACCACTTTAAAACAAAAGAAAGGATTTAATGATGTACTGTGGGGACCAACAAAGCGGACTAAATGCATGCGGTTTGGTAAGTTAGCCACACCTGCTAAGCCCCATAAGCGCAGTTCAGCAGATGGGTGGCAATTGGCTTCACAAACTCGGGGGCGCATGACATTCAAGTGTCTTTGTGGACACGGATATAACTCTTTCGCCTCATTCACCCTCTAAATATAGGACAATGGCGGTGACCTCAAGTCAGAATCACGGGGTTGCAGTTCTATCGTACGACGCTTTTCACTAGCAAGCGTGGCAAGATTTTGATGGGAAAGTGACCCTAAACATGTTTGTCATGCCAAATGGGAGCTTATCACCTGACATTTAATTCGAACTTCGTAAATCGAAGCTATGTATATGAGATCACCGATAGCGCCAAGAAGATTGACAGTGACAGTTACGGATCGAAGATAACCCGGTTGAACTAGTTTCGCTACGAAACTACGACGCGAGATTCGTTAAGAGTGGACGAAAAGAGATAAACAGCGCATTAGATGAGTCTGTAGTAAACACGAGGTCGCTAAACGCGTGCCCCGAAATCCGCGTAAGATTTGTGCTTTGGATTCAAAACAGTACCAAAAATACACAGTCCGATCGCTAAAAAAGACCCGAACGAGGTAGGGACGCGCTTCGTTTACTGCAACCAGCATCCATAAAGAGGTGTGCATGATAAATATCGAGGTCTCCGCCCAAGTGGTGATGTTGTGGAGCATCCAGTCTAGCTAATAGGAGCGATCTATAGACCTGAGTTGATGTAATGCATCTAATAGCTTCGGATGGCGAAGGTGAGCCAAAGATAACCATTATCCATCCAAGTAAATTGCGGTGCTACCGAGTATACTACGGCGAAGGAACGCGTGATGCTTATAGGGCAAAACAAAAATAGAAATTAGTATAGTTACTATCAGGAGTGTAGAACAGCTAACCTACTAGATCCAAGCAGTGAAAGAAAAGGTTTGATCCACCGCAAGACACACACAGCGTTATCGACTGTAAATGAGGTGCAGCATGAATAAGAATTGTGAAGGAAGCACGAAGCTCAAGACCATAATAATATATATCACAGAACAAGGGATTGACCCATTTTCTGCTGAGGTTTTGGATTTTTTCCATTTTTACTGATGTTATAGAAAATGATGAAAAAACAAACACGAGGTTTGGATTTTAAAAATGTGGGTTACTTCAGGAAATATGATGTTTTTCTAAGTTGCATTTTTTAAGGACGCTTGCAACATGACATGGGAATTTATAAAAAAATGAAACCGCATTTTCTGAACAAAAACATTTGTTTGCGGATTCGAAGTGACAGTGTTTAAGATTACTTTCAAAGATATAAGATATTAGACAGCTACTCATTATAAAAGTATATGTAATCCAAATTTAGACAAAATTTGCGGTCCATTGTTCATACGTAGTATGCTAGAACTGTCACAGTTTCTCTGATGCTATGTTGGTTAAGGCTTTCATGAGTGGCAAGCACATAAAAAATCATCAAAAATGTTGTGATACGACCACTCCTTCGGCCGCATGTCCACTAGGTTCATAACAATGCCATAACCCAAACCTGTCTTGTCATATTTAGCCTCAGCTCTTTGGTAGAGATCCAGATAGGGAGTATAAACGAAAGGTGTTCCAACGACCCACTATTTTTATCCGAATCTAATAGGCTTTCTTCTGATACTTCGCTTCAGTCCATGACGGCCGTAATATGGTATCAAGCCTTCCACACACAGATTTTCTTCCATGAGGAAGAATTTCATAAATATTTCATTGAGGTTACAATCCGGTGGAACATTTACAAATTTGTCATATGCGTGGAAAATGGTATTGCTTGCTAGGTGGGGATACTTCATGATCATGTCAAATTTATCCCGATTCATAGTTTGACTGATGGTCGCATTGTGGAGATCTTGTTCAGGGCCCAAATGCATATGCCCTTCTGGTAATGGATTAAAGCCAGAGTTAAACGGAATAGCTAGAAAAGCACGCACTTCAGCCGTTGTTATACTGAATGACTAGTCACTTTTTGAACGAGTGTACTCAATTGTCTGCCTTATCATGTGCTTAATAACAGAATTAGCAAAGTACCGTTCAAAAGATTTATACGGTGTGAATTATTCCTTTAAGAAATCAAGTACACATTCAGACCACTGTCTCTGAGTATGTGCACCTAGGTGGTGCACTATTAATGAGTAGTATGGTGAAACGAGCAGGCGCCATTAACAGCGAATAACGGAGCACCACGGAGGACGGGCGCGTGGTGTACAATTCAACCAGCCACGGAAACGGGTGAGGCTGGAGTTTTGGGTCCGTACCATACGGTCACAGCAAGCTGTCGATAGCACATGACGGAGCGTAGAATGAAATAGCAGCACGAATGGACAGCGTAAATGAATCCGATTGTTCTATGTTCGAAATATTATACCATGAACGTTCTCCAATACACAACTCGTTCGCACCGCGCCGCATTTTCCACACCTACATAAAACTTTCCTTGATATTCTGGCTCTGGTGTCTTAATGAGCTGGTATTGAAGAAACAAGTGGGGGAGCAGTAAGCCTCTTATATACCTTTACTGCTGCTTTCTGGTTCCTCGTGTTGACTGTAATCACAGATCTATGAGTAAATACTAAGCTAACCTCAGCGTCACTGAGTAACTGCCTCGCTGACAGCTAATCAAGAAATCCCCAGCATCCTGAATCACTTCATTGATGTTGGCCTCCAGTATACCATCAGCTTCTGTACATAGTATATTTTAAAATTCCTGTTGAAGAAACATTTTTAGCCAATTGTAATACAATTAAAATACAATTTTAACAAAAACAATGACATTAAAGAGAAAAAAGTAGGTTACTGCAATACAACAGGTTTCACAATGCAATGCTATAAGCATAATACATCGAAATATTTATAAAATATGAACATATGTTCAATCATGTTACCAATGGTGTAGTTATTCCCAAGTCATATGTCACGTTCTTTGCTGTGGCGTTCTTAAAAAAGGACAGGTCACAGCTCATGGATGCAATAACTGTGATGATTAGCTTTAGACATATAACAACACAAATATGGTACTTTTCAATGAGTAATTACTTAAACTGCACCAACTATTTTTGGTTTTCCACTTTATCCACATTTGTGATCATACAAGTAAAGGAAATGTTTCTTTTCAAAAATGAACTTAGACTGGTCAAAATTATTTCCGTATGACGAGGATTAATGTGTTAACTAAAAGTACAAACAACATTATAAACAATAGGATAATATAATGCCATTAAGCGCATTTTAGGTAGTGTCCTTAAAAAAGACATCAGAAAAGAATGGGTTAAGCTAGAGAAAGTAAGGATAGCGAAAATCCAATAAACGTCGTCCAAACAGTTTCGTCAAATCTAAGAAAAAGAACTCACTAATTCACCAGCTAGCTCTCGTACCAAAAGCTGCTTGTCAGCAGGCGAAATCTGGGCACTGGCCAATGCGAGAGTAGCTTGGGAGAAAATAATGGATAGAGTGAGCTCGCGAGCTTGAACTAAGAGAGACCTGAACAGAAGCGAAAGCGGAGAGACAAAGCGTCAATAGGTTGGCGACGGAAGAATGTGGAGTACAAAACAAAGCAGGAACCAGTTGGAGGCGACTAGGTACAGTGTGTAGGTGAGAATCGCCAAAGGCGTAAACAAAGATAGGCGATAAGGTCTCAGTAAAGGTTCTCGGTAAGCAGAACATGTGAAATGTTGAGGTGGATGCAAGGGCCACAGGATTCCACGGTAGCAGGTACTCCTTGCTAACCTGGCAAGATGAACTCCACGCCAACGCGCGTAAGCGAGGTGATGCATCAATATCCTCAAATCTTCATGGTCCATGATATCCGTTCGCAGAGTTGTACATCGCTATGGCTGCGAACAGCCAAAGGACGTTTTTGCCTACCGAGTGACAATGGGAAATATACGTTGCCTGATCCGCAACTTCACGCGTAACACCATATCCGGTGCATATCAGAAAGACTAAAATTGAAGGATAGATGAACGGGAATCACAATGGGTTCGGGGCTGGCTTACCTTCATTCAACACCTTCGCTGTTAGGAGGATATGGGTACCGAACACACACAGGGTGATGGAAAAGCAGTAGTCCGTTCAGTGATGACGTCTCTCATTGAGACTAGCACGGTTACGGAGGCAGTGCATTCCGCCCCACACACCCTAACGATCAGCAGCGGCGGATAGCAAGTAACAGATATGCCGGTAATGGATGAGTATTCCCATTAGACGAAGCCAAACATAGTACAAATTGCGGAAATAAGTCCCGAAAACACGCAATATTATGCCCACCGGTGTAGACACAGTGCAACTGAAGTGCTAATGCATAAAAGATGCGCATCAGAGGTTCTCATGTAATTATTTGGAAGGCCACCATTCCCGATGTGTTAGCTAATTTTCCAGATCACAAATGATGACATAGTTAGGATGTCCACCCCAAGGTTGTGCAGCACCGGGAAGTAGGTAGGTTGGAAAATCGTGCACAGATGGTCAAGAGGGTTAAACACAGAGGTCGAGAAAAGCACAATCAGAATCACCGAACACTTACAACAGTGTGCCACGATGTTGACTTGTTTTGGGCGACCCAAAAGGTGAGCTGCTTCGAAGACGGCCGGATACCTGAATATGAGAAAACCAACAATATCCGATGGGAAAGATAGAAAAGCAAGTGGCAGTTGCAGCGGTATCAAGAGAAACAAGGCCGGGGTAAGTAAGAAAATAAATGTAGGCGTTAATGGAAACAAACCTAAAGTGTACATCATGCATAAAAAATAAGCCAACTTTTATGTAAACATAGAGCAGGGCGCCATTTACAATCGACATCGCAGTTTAGAAGAAAATGGTGAACACGCAGGAGGGCCACAACTTCTAAAAACGAGGAGTCTACCGACAGTGGAGCAGTGATGAAGTGAAAGCCGTGGAAGCAGAGGGAAATAAGCAGGGCTCCAAATCCGAGTTGTGCGAGTCGAAGGGTGGGTGATATTCGGCACACCGATTTAGCGAAGTACCAGTCCAAACTACCAATGTAGCACTGCGGTCGATGATGATGGAGTATAATCATTAGTCATGTACTTCCGCAAGCTTGAATCAGGTAGTAGTGAGAACACAGAGAGCTTCCGCAGTTTCTCACTATGCCATAGCCGGTTTTGTTTTCGTTTCACCTCCGCAGTTTTTGCGTTTGCCATAAAACCCTTCGTTGTTGTGCCACAGTAACTTGCAGATGACCTAATATTTCCATATGTAGACCACTTGTTTCTGATAAACGCCACTTGCTGTCCAAAATACTTTTGAGATTTTACCATTTGATCCTGTTGTACAATCGACAATCCGAGGCATCTGGACCCTGGACTCACGGTTGACACCTTGAGCAACAAATGATTAGAATTAGTAATATGTGAACTAACCAAGGTAAGTTCATCCGTACGGCTCAGTGCTGACTGTTGAAGTATGTGTAGACTTTGAAGAAGTGATAGCTCTCATCTACACAACCACACATCACATTTCGCAAGTGTAAACATGAATTGAAACGTGTGGGTGAGAGCACCGACGAAGGACGGCCAGTTGAATGACGCAGACATCCGTCGTCATCAAGCGCCACGGTAAGAAAATCGCAACGAAGACGAAGCCGTTGGCTATAGACGGTGAGGGAAATGCACTTCCAGCATGGTAGGTCAGCAAACGGGATTTGATTCTTCTAGATGAGTGACCGTGAGTGCCCAGCACGTGCACACACGGGATATCCTTAAAGTGCGAACTATCTAGAATGAATTACGGAGGGACATAAATTCTTTATGAAGGAAATCGAGTACATTATGGCTGGAATTGACTTATAAATGTTATAGTGTGCCTGGGATGGGGCGGAATGGATTGGTAGGAGTGTACCGAAGACCACACAAAATGATAAATGTACATGAGATGGCCGCAGAAACACCAATCTGTATGTAAATGCTGAGCAGATTCAGAATGTTCAGTCGGACGATAGGCCCCCAGGGTAGTATGCCGAGCAGCATCCATCGTAGGAAAAGTTGAATTGAAGAAGCGGTCCGATTGGTAAAAGAGGTAATGGGCAGGCAAATCACAGGTTAGACATTCAATGACCAGTACATGACCAGTACAAGGTGAAACAGATACTCGGTATTCCGTCGCAAGGGGGCCAAATTGTGTGTACATGTATGTGTGCATAGATGGTTCGAGCAAATATGATGGGATGGTCGGGATGTGGTGGAGCAGACATCAGTGTGTGTGTGTGTGGGGGGGAGGGAATTAAAAGTTATGTGAAAACACTGATCAAGGACAAACTGAGCGCATCCGAGGCAGAAGGCAAGAGTAAGCATTTGTGGAGAACAATTCCAAAGAGTACACAAAATTGTTGAGCTGAAAAAGTCATTGGTCTAGGACATGATGGATCCAGAAGGCATGGGCAGGTAAAGCTGGGAACTACGGGTTAGATTTATTACGGGCAAAGTTGGTACCTTGATCAAACAAATAAAAACAGGACCAATATTACAAGTAGAGATATGATGCCACCAGCATTGACGGAGCAAGCCCCAGCTGTCCTCGTGATGAACTGATCCAGTGCAGGGTTAGAGAGCCTGTTAGAACTCCCAACTGGTATACCTCGAAAATACTGTGGCGTTGGTTCCCCTCCAATATGCGTTACCCCGCTGCAGGAATCGGTGTTAAAAAACAAGCGGTTGGCTAATGCCCCACGAGATGAGGTGGTTATCTTTGAGCAATCAATACCCTCATCTACAATGAGAAAGCTAAAAAAGTATTCAAAGCAAGTAATGACGACACCTGAACCACAAAAAAGTGTAAAAGATGATTCGTGAATCATCCATTTCAGTGTCGCCGAGGAATGTGGCGACAACTTTGTCCACCGTACCAAAGTTAACTGCTGCGAGTTGTTGCAAGTTAGCTTTGTTGCTTGAGGTCTAAAAATCCAATGAGTTTACTCGTAATAAGGTGATTTGGAAAGCGTACTAGTTGATTGATGCTGGAAGCTCCGCCTGCATGTGCGCATGTTGGGCGTCGAAGGGAGAAGTGAGCTGAAGAAAAATGGTGTCACTTTCTTAGAGGAAAGAAAAGGGCGAAGGCTGTGACGTCTGCTAGACGGAAATCTGATACAGAGATGTCTTGATGACATTACTGAAAATTCGAAGCATGCTGGTGCTGAGAACGCAGAAAACGAAGTGGAATTACCTTAGAGACCAAGTGTTGCAGTGAATGAGCCAGAGAGATTAGTGTGCCAAATGATAGATGACGGGTTTTGTCCTCAAGAATTGGAGCGTTGAAAATGAATTCGATTGGGGTGCGAAGTTCATGAAGCTCTTCGGACTGTGAGGAAAAAAGACGGAATAGAAAAGTTTCACTCATGACAAAAGATATGGTGGTAGCAACGGAACATTTGTACCGATGGACGCAGAATACCAAATCTGGTGTAGCTAAGTAAACTGCACAAAAAGTATTATCAGTTCAAAGGAAAATCGGCCCATTATACATTCCAGCGAAAGGCGCGGATTGGGGAAAGAACGGAATTTTTTATGCCAATGGGGCAAACAAGGCATTATGGTAGTAGTTCTTTGAGGTTTTGGTAGAGGTTGTAGGCCTGGATGGCGATATGCAATATCGAACTGAGTTACAATTTACTTCGAAGTAAACACTTTGAAGTAAAAACATGTCACCGGGAACGTGTCCGAATTAGATGAGGGTTAACTGCTGGTTTCTCCTAACAAAACCCTTCACAGACAGTTTCAGCTCTTCAGACAGGGATTGCCGGAGTCGTCAAGCGGTCCTGGGACGCAATGATCGTTGGCAAACGTACTCAATGCATGAGCAATAGACCGGTACACCATGCTGCCACGCAACCACCAACATTCGCTCATAGGCTAAGGATACTACGAGGGTCGCCCGCTCCCCTACGCAGCTCGAACCCGCGACTTCCGAGTTGCAAGGCAGACGCTAAGTCGATTAGGCCACGGGCCGAGCACCAGGATCTTCGGTCGGCACAACGGTTGGTTAACTGCAGGTATTGTGGCACCGGCTGCGTGTCTAAGCTGCGGAGGGAATCAGGGTCGTACGAACATCCATCACACAGCGTGAAGTCTGAGGCTTAAGTAACATGTGTGTGGTAGAGAACATTTTGCCTTGCGCTGCAGTTAAAGAAACTGGAGGTATACTCTGGTTGGAATGCTTAGCCCTTTCATGGTGCTCCCTACATGTTGTGCACAACCAATTATGTGCAACCAGCACTTGCATAGAATTGGACAAGAGAAACGACGCGTAACCAGCTAGAATTCGGTTCAACAGATTATATCGCTCGGTATATTGAAAAGCGGTTATTTAAAAAAGAGATTGGATGAAAAAAGGTGCAATACTCTTCCACAAAGAGTGCTTTCCTGAAAAAATACATAGTGTAGATGCTACACGTCTGACATATTGTAGCTCGATTAAATGTCAATGGTGGTTTAAATGCGAATGAAGAAGAGTTGAAATTAGACAATAAATGTGGCAAATGGGTGAAAAAAGACTCACAGTCATCAAGCTCAGGTAGCCCAAAGATGGGAGCTGGGTGCCCAGTAAACTGAGGCAACTTATAAGATGGCGAACGAAACAGACGAGCTGAGCCTCATCCCTGCAATCGGATTCGGTAAAGGCTACTGAAGGAATGCATGTGTGATGGAGGCTATCTCGAAGCTTTGTTACATGAGAACGCGTGGAAGCTGGATCCGGAGTGGGGACATCCGATATCCGGGCCGATATAGTCGGTGTTAACTGTGAACTGACTGTGGTGGTGGCAACAGCAGCAGCAGGTACTGCAGCGGCAGATGAAGTTGAGTGGGATCTGACGATATAGGTGCGAAACCCTGAACGACGGAGTAAGGTGGAGCAAAGGTGAACTTGGGATTCAGCCTCTAAAAACGCAGAAGTGACGACTGCTGTGGAGAGAGTGGGACCATACGATGCAATGTAGGACACCTGCAAAATGAATGCGACAGAAAACAACCGGATGAGAAACAAAACTCAAGACACATGAAAGAATAACGATCCGCACGAGCGACGCATTAGTCAACGGGCGTTTGAAAGTTGTGCACAGTTCAGTAAGATAGGTTGTGCAGGCTTGCGGTCAATTAGGATCACATTGAAGTCAATTGACTGGATAGTTACAGTCAGGTCGTTTGGGTGGAGATCATGTGGAGTTTCCGAGTGTGATCCCCTCCCGTCTGTAACTGGTTACGACAGTCATAATAAGTAAACCATTTTCTTATGAAGATATGCATCTGCACCTATCGGTCTCAAGTAGATCGTCTCTGCGACAGCAAGCAAACGAACTCCCAAGCAATAGATATGCTGCGGTAGTGAAATGTATAGAGTACCGAAGGCGGTCCACTTGTCCATGTGATAGCTAGTGTCCATCAAACCGATGAGCGAACCACCGAGAATCTAACTAAAGCAACCTCGTAGCAAAATCATCCACTGGCAGATTGTTTGCTTGCTAGAACAGGAATGAAAGTAATATCAGTAATGCTAAGTGACATTCACAAAATGGTGAGATCACGTAATCAGAGAACCTCGAGAAAGACGTGAAACAGCACATGACTGGTGGTGGGACCGATGTCAGTAGGAAGGATGAGTGCCGCGTGATCGGGCCATCGCAAACCGATCCATGCATAGTGACCTGGACTCACCGATGCTCCCGAGTTAATTGTTGAACGGAAAAGCATGTTGAATCCAAGGGAAGGCAATCCAGACTCACAAGCCAAAGGGCTGTTGTGCAGCGATTGAGTGGACACCAGCGCACGCCACAAAACGGAAAGCACACGGTCAGCCAATCGGATCCGGGGCAAGGACAACACTTCGCTTTGTAACAGGGTTAGTAGAGGTGGGAGAGAGGTGTGAAAGCCACTATCTCGGTTGAGGGAATGGAGTGGCTCGTACCACAACTTGATCAAAGCTTCCAGTTGGATCCCGTTTTCGAAGCAAAAAGTATTCAATAATCGAGTGACAAATGGATGATGTGCGTTTTTCAGCAGATCATGCATAAGGCATAGGAATTGCAATTGAACGGAGATGAATGCGATCCAGTCTCCGCCGGATGGAGCAAAGGTTGTGAAATCTGTGTGAGATTCCTTGAGAGATAGGCAGAAACGAAGGAGAAAATCAGTGCGAAACGGCTTATCCGTATGAAGAAACAAAGCATATAAAAACTTGACAATAAAGCAGTTCAGAGTACAATCAATGGAACTCAATTAAAGATACTCAATATGTTTATAACGGGGTGGCAGCAAAGTTACCACGAATTGATTGTGGCAGCTAACTGCGGAAAATGTGGAGCATCGACTGATTTCGAATGGGGTTCAATTAGCCGCAGACCTTATTAGGAGTGTAATTTCAAGAGAACCGCATGCGAATAACTAGGGGAATTAAAAGGTGAAGTCAAGGGAACAAATTGAAGGTAATCGGCTGATCGATGTTTGCGTGGGCACAGATACCGATGATATAGCAAAATTGTCAGACTCCAAACAAGACGTTTTCCTGGAGTATCAACACACCGCTCACTGTCTTAATGGGATGTCCCTAAAGGGAAGACAGTAAACACACAAACAGTTGAACAATATTTCGCTTTACCAAATGCTGAAGCAATGAGTTTAATTTGAAAAAGCTAACACGAAAGAGGGCTTTGGGAATATGACAGTGCGGTCGCTGGACACAGTGTTGTTGTAGGTTTGGTGCAAAAAAAACAATTTAGCGGACAAGATTCAGAAACGGGGTAAGCGCAGATCATTCACCGAAAAAACAGGAACGAGTAGACGACAATACAGTGAGCAAATAAGCGAGACGTAGCCAGCAGCACCGATTTTTGTGAAACAGATAGAGACGTAGAGAAGACTCGATGAGGCTCACGATACAACGGGGACTCGAGCGCAGTCCTCGTAGTCGACGTCCAGGATGTTTATGGGAATAACTATCGCAAACATAAAGAACAAAATTATAGTCCGACGATTATATGTGCGCTCACTACGAGCAGGCTAAGTGTAGTGGTAATGCGCGTCCTCAAGCTGGCACATGCAGCTAAGGTGAAAACAAAGAATCCATTCTGAGCAATACCGGCCAACCTATACGGGAAAACCTTAACAAAATTTTGTCTGTGAAAGCCGACGTAAAAGATGCGGCCTGTAAAAAGTCAACATTTACGGGAGCGACAACAATAGTCAAAAAACTTGAGTACATCAGCAGGACCACTTTTTAACACAAACATTCGCACCGGCTTACTCAGCGCATATCGTCCCAGACCCAAGCTAGCTGAATGCCATCAGTCTTAGGTTACGTGCATAAATACCGGATTGTTGACCGATTTAGACTACGTGCTTAGACTCCGATTGTAACTAAGTGCGTGCCTGTAGTGCTCACTATCCCTGCTTCGGGGAGAAACGGTTACACACGAACCTTCTCTTTTGCCATCCAAATTATGAGTTTAAAAGTCAAAATGAATTAATCAATCAGTTCTCACCGACGGAAGAGATAAGTAAACCGGATCCGGATTGAAATCGCCTTCAACGCAAAAGGTTTTTGGTATCGCTTGCGTGCTTAACTTGAGACGGGCTAGTTGTGAACATATAATTTAGTTTTCTTGGAGGATGAAAAGACCTGCGACACCATGCAACGGTGAGTGAATAGCAAGGTTGATGGATGGTAGGGACTTTTGAAATGGAAAAGGCCAATGCTACTGAAGACAACCAAGGTTCGACTCATCGGGAACACCAATTCAGATCTCTCAGTTAGTGTGATAATATTAGGGAAAGGTGGACAACTGATCCGATCCCAAACGCGTTGACCAAACAGTTGGGCGGAGCATTCGTAGATTAGTTCAGTGGACCTGCGGTCCAACACGACAATGGACAATGGCGTAGTACGATGGTTCATGTGAATCGGGGACCCTTTGAGTTAAGTCAGGCGGTATTTCTCAATCACCAGAGTCAGTGGTCAGAAAAGGTCAGTCTCACCATCCGCACCGGGAGCTGGAGAGAAATGGATGGACCTATTCATTTAAAATTTAACCATGGTATCCAAAACTCTTGGGATTTTTGGCTCGGCCCAGTTTGCAAAGAGTAAGAGCACCACCAGTTCTCTCTCACGATGGGAGAGTATCACTGATACTAAATGGTGTGATACAGCCCGCCTCAAGCCAGGCATGACCTGGTCGAAAAGATGCAAACCCGTCAAGCTATGGCCGCGATAAACTGTCGTTGCATTTGCGTAGTTGAACTGTGTAGAAAAACACGCGTGAATTGTTCAAAAAGTTCCTAGGGCTGCGTGGTACTGATTTCAAACAGATCCTAATGGGACTCTACATCTGAACTCCCTAGCTGGATGTGCTACTTGAGTATCAGATAGTTGAGTCAACGTCTAGAGGTAGAGAACCTAGAACAAATCCACTCTCTCGGAGTGGGAAGTTGGAAAGGATCATCAGCCTCCACACTGTCGTCAGCAATCTTGCCCCCGCTTCTGTTTCCCCTCCGCTTTTTGAATATGCGTCGTGTGTTTAAAAGCAAGAGACCACCGTGGACTTCACAAATCATTGCAGAATAGAAGTGGCGCATCTCACGAACTAAGAGCGCCATTTTAAATTGGGCCTTCCGATGTCCGCATATTGTCGAATCGGCCAATAGGTGACACTCGGAATGACTCAACATTTCTTTAGTGTTGATGTGCACTGTGTTTCTGAAAGAATAACACGGTACAACAGCGTTTTACTTCAGCTTAGCCTACTAGACGCGGGTTCCAGTGATAGGGCTCTCGCAATTCGCGTCTCCGGTGATGCTGCGTCAGTAACTCAGTATGCACGGTGTGGGAATCATTATCAGGACAGACATGCAGTGACTTCCAGGATGGATACAAGTGAACAGTGGCATGATTAATATCTGAATTTGAGACTCCATTGAAATCGACAAGAAGACAGATGATTTTCTATACTCTAAGCCTAACCTACCAATTTTAACCCAGAAGCCAATAACCTGTTCGATAAGAAGCTCTCCTACCTTATCTGAATGGCCGAAAACACGGATGTAGTAGCCGATGCGGGTGACATGGGTCATCAAACCGGCCGTTTATCAAAGTCAGAACATGGCCGCGGAGGACGTTATAAGGTTGATACTTGTCGTACTGACAAGAGCGACCTCTTCCATAAGTTGTGTGTTGATCGAAAGCCCTTTATCAGCAGCACAGCTTTCCAGCACAAGTGGCCGAATGGAGTTACCTGGCGGCACCGAAGGATAGACGGTCCTGTACGCAAATAGACCATATGGTCATCAGCTAAAGATGGCTTACAGCAGTGCGAGACGTCGGTCGATTCAAAGCGCTAACGTAGGCCCTGATCAGGGTCATGTAAGTGGCCACATAATCCTCACTCTTTTTGCTTCGATTGACTGACCATGCTTAGTCGATGTCCGATCGGTTTAGGAGTCTAGTCTGTGATGTACAGATCACCAGCTTGAGCCTGCGTAGGTGCGGGTAACCTATCAATATCTCCAGCTGACACGTAACCGATGGTGATCGTGTGGTAGGGGAGGTATCAGCAGTAGGCACCGGTGTACAGCGGACGCTCTTTCCGTATTCGAAGTTAGTTGATCCTTAACCGTGTTCGCAGTTCGCGAAGTGACAATATCAATCAGAATCGCAACGTTAATCATCCCCATTGAATCCGGTAGATGAAGTGAATGCTGACTGGAATCGTCCTCGATAAGTCATACGAAAATCACTTGAGGCGGTTAGTCAGTGAAGTGGCAGGTGGGTATGAAGAAACGCATCGAAAGACTGAGTCGGGATGATGCCTGTCTTCCCTACCCCGGAAAAGCGCCCACCAATCAGCGATTAGATAGCCTCTTGGATGTGGCACAACGATCAAGTCAAGGACGTCATTGCATTAGTTCCCAAATTTCTATCACACAACTAGCTCATCTAGCAGCTTCATTTCTTCTGTAGCACACTTAGCTTGCATGTTATGACGGTCTGCCATCAGTCCCTATAGCGCAGTGGCATAAGCTTCTGGCTAAGATCGCGAGCTGTTAACGATCACGGGTTCGGTTCTTGATGGAGAAGGAAGATACCCACTACTGATGAGCCCCGGTAGAATGAAACGGCCGTCTGGTGTTTTTCCGAATAAGTTGTTGTACTATCTGGCTTGTGAACTGCTGGTAAAATATTCAGCTGATGTGGGTCATGGTGACAGAATATGTACCTAGGCGCACGGATGACAGCTGATAAACCAAACTGGGCCTACATCGACACTACCATTGGTTGGATTACTCAAACACGGATGGAGCGTTGTTCCGCTTCCTATGCTGAGGGAGATTTGAAGTAGACTTCTGTGTCGAAATGGAACAAAACATTCAGATACGAAGACTGCCATTCATTTAAATTAAAAGACAGGAGAGTCCCACTAGTGACCGGTCACGCAGCTCCATTTAGCACTATATAAGATGCGGAAACAGCAAATACAGATTGTCGGTTATCAAAATTCGTCTCGTCACAAAAATTACTAGGAACTATCTATGAGCAGCATAATGTGGGGGCTCATTATTCTTCGCAAGAGTCGAATAAGTGAAAACTAAGCTGGCTTCTGTCGAAGCAGAGGGTGCACTGACCGCATATGTAGACGTCGTCAAGTGCTGGAACATTCAAATAGCACCACATGGTGAGTTTCCTTTACTTTAATAAGCCTGTTCGTACCGTCTTGTGGTGCTGACTATGCAATGCACTGTTGCAAGAAAGTGTAAGGAATGGGCTGAATGTGTGGCAATAGAGGATGCACTAAAGCTGTCATGCTGTTGAGCGAATAGACAAATACAAGAAGAAATGGACTGCAACTTAACGACGCCTCATCAAGTTACGCAGAGTTCTATGACAATCCGAGACGGAAATATATAGCACCATGACAGAAAGGCAAGATACTAGACATCTACTAAGAAAAACAGATAATTTCTGGTTAATCTGGTAAGGAATCGAGATAAAATAAATATATAATGTAACACTTTCGTGCGTTGAAATCAAGTGCCAGTTACACTGCAAGTTTAAAAGACAAAAGTTAACTAACGTACCCCAGAAGACGTCTCATACTCGTGGATCCATTGCAATAGCGTTTCCGTTGATGGCCAAACCAAGGCATGAGACAGAACGTCTTCATAAGAGGCGATTATGTCGGCTCCTGAAAGGAGTGATGAGGGCGCTGTATCTGTTTCCATTCGAGAGCCACAGCCCGAGTCTATAAACAAACCAGCTTTGCTGATATCAGGGTATAGGCCAACAGTTGTCTTTGCGTTGGTTTCAATGTTTGGCGTGAGTGCGAAGCGACACAGGAACGCAAAAATATCATGACAAAGACCAGCGCCTAATTGAGCCTGAAGAAAACAAGAATTCAAACAATGGTAAATATAGATTTGGAAGATGGTTTGCTTGGTACTACTAGTGATAGTAGTTGGTTCATTGTAAAAAAGGCCCCAGATTTTCGCGTATCCGGTGGAGGAAACTTGAGTGGAAATATCGTTGTGGGTAAAGTATCGGTGCAAAGTGATTTTGGTGGGGGCCCATCTCATGCATAAAGGATAGATAAGGATAAGGCACGGCTGCCATTATGCGTCGATGAGGTGAAACATGTTCAGCCAGCGAGGCATGGATACAAGAAACTGCGAATAGTTACAGTGTGTCTGAGCAGTGGGAACAGAATTTACCTTGGAATATTGCTCCAGTAGACTGAGTAGATTGTGCAACACTCCGGTCTTGACCAAGCGAGCAGAAACGTCGGAAGACAGTGTATCATCCCACAGACACAACATGAGGCATAACGCCTGGCGAGCAGCCTAGTGAAGAAGAAATAGGAAATGTAACAAAAAATACGAAAATGAGAGAGGGTCGATCTGCATCGATGCTGATTCATCGGAATATTACTGGGCATACTCGCGGAATGAAGTCACGTATTGTCCCAATGACCCATTGAAGTATGATGTGCTCTCGAAATCTATACTCTGAAAAGTGGACAACCAAGAATTGTTTCGACTATTGTCTAGGGCAAAACATTGCACTAGTTCATCACTGGATGCTTAAAGCATAGTAACAATGGAACAATGGAACAATGGTATATGACGGGTAAAAAAGCATACACTTAACGAGTCCCGCAGGTTGGCAATAGAAATACTAACAAATTGGCAAACCACATAAGTGGTTGAAGTAAGGAGTGTCAGTGAGATAAAAGGTAGAAGTATAACAGTTTTAGAGGGATAAAGTGGTACGATGCAAAACTGGCTAAGAAATTGTTATCGTTGGTGATGGCAGCAAATAAAAATGGAGTACTCACCGGTTCGCACAGATTTACGACCGTGAATTTGGGGTATAAATCCAAAGAGGCTGGTCAGCCTAAATATATACAAGCGTTTTCGTTCATAAAACAAAGCGCAGGGCGCTCAGTGCGACGTCCAATCGTTTTTTAAACGTATCTAATGTGGGAGCACAAACTACTGAGTTTGAAAGGGCGTTCCAGGGCCCGCAGACCCGTAGGGAGAAATAGGTTCTCCGACAGTCTAGACGACTGTACTGTTGGCTCAGCTTTAAACTGTTACCGCGAAGGTTAGTGTTCGGGCTGAGCTTCAAGAGGTGGCGGCATACGTGACTGGGATCGCTCAATATCTGGTACACTAGTATGAGGTCTCCACGAAGTCGCCGGTACCGTCCGCTGAACACTCCGAGTATCTCCAGTCGTTCCTGGTAAGGAGTGTGGCGCAAGCCCTTGACGATTTTCGTTGCTCGACGCTGTGGGGTCTCAAGCGCTGCAAGGTCACGTTTTAGCCAGGGTTGCCAGGCCTGGATTGCATATTCGACGTGAGGACGCACGTAGGCATTCAGCATCAAAGAGAAGATGGATGGATCCAAAATTCCGAATGCTCTTCGCAGGAGTCCAACGTGCTGGTTGCCCCTTTTAGAAGCGGAAGCTGACTGTTTGGAACACCCGAGGTCTTCCTGTACCAGCACACCCAAGTCGCGTTCCTGAGTGGTGGTCTTCAGATCGTGTGCCCCAAGCTTGTAGACGTGGACTTGTCGATGGCGGATATGAACAACGCGACATTTGTCCACATTAAACGGCAGGGCGTTTCTCACCGACCAATTCCAGGCCTCATTCAAGTCACGCTGTAGGACTTCATGGTCGTCCGATCGTTTTATCGCCCGCCAAATCTTGAGGTCGTCCGCGAAGAGTAAGAATTTCGACGTAATAACTCTTACTAGATCGTTAATGAAAAGCAGGAACAAACGAGGCCCAAGTACCGAACCCTGCGGTACGCCGCATCCCACTCGAATCGCTTCAGGTGCGATCCCACAAGCTTGTATCGGCGCTCGCGATTGCTACTTGGTGTGCGCAAATGTAGGAGCGGCCCCAAGATATGGAAGTCACCCGAATGTAATATCCGGTGCGTCATGATGAGGTCCGCTCGAAACCGAAAATACGACAGAGCGTACAGCCAATATCTCGTATCGGTCAACGTACGACGTACCCCCTAAACTGGAGATGAGCCTGGTAGCCACCTACCGAACACATTCCAGTTTTTGAACCTTACCACGAGTGATCAGACTATAGGCGAGTGGGTCATACCCGAGTATTGGTTTTATAATGGAAGGAAGAAACGAGTGGCATTCGTTTCAGACCAACTGCATAGACTGCGTTTAAGCGCCCAAAGTATGCGCATTCTTCATGTTGTCTACAGACTTCAAATCGCAGCGTGAATACACAAAGGTCCTTCAAGGAAGGTGTGGGATGCAGCGGTTGGTCGGCTAGAATGTACGTACACACTTTACCGCCCTTCCTAAGGCTCAAAAATAACGATTTCACCGAGCAAATAGACATCAGTAGATCATACGGACAGGTAGCCATGGTCATGCTGTAGTACGTCGTTGTCGTCGGGAGCACCAATTACTCTTCAAATCTTCAGGTCGTCCGCAAGCAAGACACAGTGCGACCGAAGAAGCTAGGTACTCTGTTGGTATAGGTCAATAACAAAATGGGGTACTTCATTAGCAGAGAGATAACAGTCGGTCAGATGATCATCCGACTGTATGATCCAATTTTGTCCAATAAGGAAATCGCTGATCCACTGGTGTAGTGAGTCACCAACACCGCACATTTTTAGTTTGTGCAGGAGGAACCTATGGTTCACCTTGCCGAAATCAATGTGCATCATGTCGACTGACTTCCCCCGGTTCATCGCTTGCAATCATTTATGCCACATCAACAGCAGATTGGTGATCTATGGGTGGCCATTCATGAAACCATGCTGTGCCGGCGTTAGGTCTTTCGATTGCAATAGCTGAAACAGACCTTTTGCGAACAAAAGCAAAGTAGTCAATAAGCACAAAGTAACGAATTCTCATTAAGGGTCGCTATGGTTGGTGCGTGGGGAGACTGCGATGCACTTCAGACGACGTAAGTGGACGTGCAATGAGATGCAGAAGAATTTACTGCACGATGGGAGTTTAAATGCATTCAACTGGCCACTAAATGTCTAACAGATGTCCCCGGTATAAAGCACATGACAACATGACTGGATAGTTAGCCCGTCCGAACCACCACTGTTCAAGATTGACGCTTTAGTATAATAACCGTGTATATTCTCGGGTTTATGAGCCATGCACTTTACGGCATGAGTAATGAAGGAACGAACACGGAAAGTCTACGACCGTAAAACGATTGACTACTAAGTTTACTTGTGAGCAAAGGAATTCTGATGTAATTAACCCAACGTTCTTCACAATAACTTTCAAGTCAGGTAGCTTACCATGGGTCTGGAAAGGCACTAGATGGCCGTTTTGTCTTATTGGGAGCCATCGGCATGTACATCTCTCGGTTGTATCTGCAATCGAACTCATGACTTCTCGATATCATTTGCTAACGTCTCCAAGACAATGGGTGATGGCCGCATCCTGTCGCGACTTATAAACTGGGATAAGCGCAGCTTAGGCTCAATTGCAAAAAACAAGGTTGGCCACTTGAGCCACGGTTTCGCATAATAACAGCTGTATAAGACAACATGCATTTCGGGAAGCGTGGCAGGATATCTGACTTAGAAGCTACTACGGGGAGCGACTAATTAATCACTATACTTGCATTAGTAAAAGCGGCAATGCATCGAACACATGTCAACTCGAAGTGAATCTTTTACCAATTCGTCTGCAACAGTGAGATCTGTGCAAACAGATAACTGTGCCAAATAGCCGAAAGCGCAATCCAAGGCTTCTGAGCGAAGGGTCTTCACGGCATCAGTTCGAGGTGTGGCAGAATCGGAAGCGACAAGTGGACGATCTGCGGAGCGAATGAGAAGGCAACAGCATGCTAAAAGCTCCGCATGTATGTGACGAGCTTGCTCGCAGGGGTCCAACCGGAATAGCACCAGTAGATGGATAAGTTGGACAAGATAGCGGTTGATGTCGCTCAAGGGAACAGATGATTGCCTACAGGAAATGATGAGACAGAAACAAGTAAAGTGAATCCATTTGAACTGAAATGAGTAAATGATGAACAAGGGGATATCATGATACTCGTATGAAAAAAGTAGTTGAAATCAGATCCGTCATCAGCTTGACGATGCAGTGACCATTAAAAAATGCAGAGTAGGCATACAGCACGGGCAATATGTAGTCACGTACACCATAGCGTAGTGATAATGCTTTCGCGATAACCCTATGGTGAAGAAGAAACCCAGGAAGAATGGAATCCATTTCAACTCAAAGCGAAGGACTACCGGGGAAATGACATCAGAGAAAGCGTACGTTAGTCCTTAAAATAACACTAGACGACAGCAAAAGCACCACTAGCATTGGCCCAAGACTCATCTGATTTAGGTGTCCCATATCACAAGTCAAGTTGTTAGAACCCAAGGGGCAGGCGGTACTTGTTTATTGCTAACGTGGCTTACACTAGGTGTGTTCGTCCATACCTTGGAGGCGTCCGCTCATCTGCGTGATCTCCATGAAGTGTTCCCCAACTGGTGCTTGCCTCTGTGTTCACTCCTCGTGCGCATGGAACTGTAATCCTGATGTCATCTTCAACTTTGGGGAAGTCGGCAGGGCTCGCTGTTGGTGTGTCAGTTTGCACCACCACACTACTTATACCCGGCGCAGTAATATCTACCTTTAATCCACCACACTCCTCCCCCTCCAAAGGACTCGCGTCAGCTGCTTTCCATCGGAGTCTTTCTGACCGCCGGGGATGTTCACTGTATGAGCGTGTTTCCTCCTCCAACTCGTACCACTTCCTCAGCTCGCCGGCATTCACCCTCCGCGATTCACCTTGCCGAGCGATTGTATACACTGGGCCTCGCCGGTCGACTACCTCGTACGGTCCTTTCCACTTCGCTAGGAGTTTCCTCTCCCCTGGGCCGCAAGTGGGATAGCGTTGATGGTCCCTGTACTTCACTTTCGAACCAATCTGAAACTCGATATTCCTTCCACATTTGCTGGTCTGGAACTTCGCCATCCTCCTCGCCTGAGTTGCCTGTAGGTTGCGGTTGGCGGTCTTCTGGTTATTCCGTGTCTCCTCGGGAGATATACGGCAAGTTGGCCACATTCCAATTTCTAGGTCCACAGGTAGACGAGGTTGTCGACCGTACATCAAATGCAATGGTGATTTCTTTGTGGAAGCCTGTTTGGTTGCTCGATGGGCCAACAACAGTAGCGGCAGCGCTTCCTCCCAGTCTCCACCTTTTGCTGCTAGCCACTCCTTGATTGTTCTACTGTTACGTTCCGTCAGGCCATTTGTTTGCTGGTGGTATGGGGTGGTGCGCAATTTCTTGATGCCAAGTTTCTCCCAACAGTTCCGGAATTCTTCACTCTCGAAGCACGGCCCTTGGTCTGTTAATATGGCCTTTGGGATTCCGTGAGCCGCTACCAAGTGATTCATGACAGCATGGGTAAGGGTGCTAGCCCGTTGATCCGGGATTCCAGTCGCCTCAACCCATCGCGTGAATTGCTCCGTCATCAATAAAATGTACTGGTTGCCACGACTGGTCAATGGAAACGGCCCCATCACGTCGATCGACCAAAGTTCACCAATTTCCGAGACCGGGATCGTCATCATTTGCTGCTGCATTCCTCGGCAATCCGTTTTCATGAGCTGACATTGTCTGCACGAAAGCACGCACTTCTCAACGTCCCATTTCATCCCCGGCCAATACGCGCGTTGTTTCAGCAGATCGTAGGTCCTGGAACAACCTGTGTGTGCCATCTCGTGACAAGAAACTACCAGATTCCGTCTTAGTTTCATTGGAATGACTGGCACCGAAGGGTTACTACCTCTTTGTACCCACATTCTCATGAGGCTCTTCCTTCAGCGCAGCTAGTGGTGCGTCGCCCAGGTCTCCAGTAACTTGCGCCAACTCCTCCAATTGCATCTTCCGAGTAGCATTCGCAATCCGAACGCGCTCCGCGGTTGGCTGTGGGAGGCCGGCCAAAAACTGATCCACCAGCAACTGCGTCTTTGACGGCTCATCCAACCCCGGCAAGGTGCGGTCCAACAAGCTCCTGAGGTGCACCGCAAACACGAGGGGATCTGTCCCAGCACCAAGCCGCAACGCCTTGAACCGTCGCATCGCCTCCTGGCGGTCCGTTGGCATGTCCAGGCTAGAGAGCAACGCTTCCTTCGCGGCGGTCCACTCCAACTTGACCGGACCTCTTCGCGCCGCCTCCAGAACCGCCTTCGCCCTGCCCTTGAGGAGACTCAGCATGGCCGCCATGTTCGCCCGGTCCGTCTCCAGCCCTACCGCCTCTGCCACCTCCTCGAAATCCGCCAAAAACGCCTTCACATCCCCGTCTTCAAATGGTTCCGGCCAGGGAATCTTCATGACTTGCGAGGTCACGGTACCAAATGTTAGAACCCAAGGGGCAGACGGTACTTGTTTATTGCTAACGTGGCTTACACTAGGTGTGTTCGTCCATACCTTGGAGGCGTCCGCTCATCTGCATGATCTCCATGAAGTGTTCCCCAACTGGTGCTTGCCTCTGTGTTCACTCCTCGTGCGCATGGAACTGTAATCCTGATGTCATCTTCAACTTTGGGGAAGTCGGCAGGGCTCGCTGTTGGTGTGTCAGCTTGCACCACCACACTACTTATACCCGGCGCAGTAATATCTACCTTTAATCCACCACAAAGTGAATCTGCGCCAGATGAGCCAGAGTCATCGACCGTACAGGCTAAAGTGTATGAGAGAAAGATACGGCGTTGTGATTAGTTAACAGGTCGGCTTGCAAACGCTACCTAACGCGACACAGTGAGTAACTGGAATGACACATTCTAGCAGTTCGACCAAGGTAGGTTCATGATATTAACTGAAGTGTGCATTGCAAGCTCCGTTAGAACTTGCCAATATGTAAGCACAAATGATAATTTATAAGTGCGGATTCTTAACTATTCTCCGAGCTGAGTGATTACTGTGCACAATAATCACTCAGCTCGGAGAACAGCCAAAAGTCCGCATTCACACCCCGAGCTACGGATATTCTCATTTATTTCAAATAATTCATAAGTTTTCATTAGCACAAAGAACTGAATGCCGATGATATTTTCTGCCCGGTCGAGTAAATGATAAAGATAGTACAATCGACTATCGGTTCGAGAGTTGGGTAGCATAGACAACAGTTGGGTGACTGGATCGGAGTGTGGAAGTTGGGCTATGGAAGACATATCATCGCAACGAGACTGGATCTTAGCGTGGTGCAATGGTTTGCACATGCCCGTGGCCCACTGAGCTATGCTGGGTTGCACTTTTCAAGTGTCTTCAGAACCACTCATACCAGACAGGTTAATGGTTAGGAGTCAGACTAACTCAGTCTCACAATCCAATCCTCACCGGCCAGCAACCTGGAGGGAACGAGTCTGTCTCGTAATCTTGCGACGCGAGTTGGAGCGTGCGTAGGCGCAGGGCGACCCTCGCAGTATCCTTAGCCAACGTGCGACCAGTGGTGGTAGCGCAGGAGCGAAGCGTCGATACTGCGTACCGGCGTACTGCTGATGCCTCTAGGCAGGTGTCGATGGCCCACTTCCTTTAAAACAGTCATGTGAGACAACAGGCCTACGGGTTATAAGCTCACAGCTCGATTGGCGTAGAGCACGAGCGCCACGCATTGTCTTCGACGATGGGAGGGCACTTTCCAGTGCTCAGTGATATGCTACCGCCTGTCCCAAGCCAGGCAGTCCCTGGTCAAATTGGCGCAAACCCATCAACTCCCACCCGCGAATGGCCGTGGTCGTACGTGCGTAACATGATACGATGGTAAAACACGTGTACACTGTTCAAAATCTTCAAAGGCCGTTTGTGACAGGTAGCAAGCAGATCCTATTGGGTCTCTGCAATCACAATTGCGTGCTACCCACTGCCTTGTGGATCAGTTTGTTGAGCCAAAGGCTCCGGGTGGAGTCCTTTAAGCAAACCTCCATATATCTTACTATCTTGTGGATCAGTGTTGAGTAAAAGACTAGACGCAGGGCACCTCGAACAAAACCCATCTCTTGGAATTGGCAGCTGGAGAGAAACATCTGCCCTCTGGACCACGTCGACAACACTCCCTCCTTCTTGTTTTGCTTTCTCCTCTCCTCGTTCCTTCTTCATCTATTGAATGTGAGACTGGCTAACATCGCAACTGCTTTCATCGATACATGTAGCTCTTTCAACAAACCTGAATTTCATTTCACATTGGTTTTGTTAACGTTCGCACTCTAGGTCAGATCTGCCAGCAAGCAGCATTAAGTCTCACACTTCGCCCACTTGATATCGATGCGCATACAAGACAACAGTGTCGTGACAAATCTTCGATTCCCTGGTCCTGAATCTGATGACCATGACTACACTCTTCGCGTCTCTGGTGATACCGAGACAAGGTATTTACGGTGTTTATATCGTTCTCAGCAAACATGCTGAAGGCAATCTGCAGCATGTGTGCGGTTCGACTTAGGACCTCTATTGAAGTTAATAAATAGGGAGTCTTTTCAACGCCTCAGTTTATGCCCCTAGTGAATGCAGTTCAGAGGGTAACAAAGACGCTTTATAACAACAGCTCTCATTTCTTCTTGGGATCGCGAATACCGACAACGTCATTGCTGCTGGTGACATGAATACCCAAGTGGTTCGTCTTTCAGACTCTGAACAACATCTAGGAAGCCGCTTCGGAGGCGGGGCACACCGAACAGACAATGGTGATCGATTCCTGCAACTGTGCGCCGACTACAACCTTTACCTCAGCAACACTTCTTTCCAGCACAAGCGCTCATACCGCGTCACTTAGTGCGCACCAAATTCCTTAATGACATGGACCCAAATTAACCATATTGCCATAGGTTACAAATGGCGCACATCAGTCTAAGACTGTCGATCAATTTGGAGGACGTGTTTGGATTCCGACCATGTTTTAGTGCGCGCACGCTTGGCGCTCACACTTCTCGTTTTAAAGAAGCGCCCATCTCCTAACTTTACCTGAAACCTGTAGTTCAACAATATCATGACGAACTGGTCCACCAAATGTAAGTGATGAATGAGGTTCGTGAACCAAACGCTGACTGGGATAGTCTCAAATGTGCCACGAAGAATGCCCTTGATGCATGACGTGCAGCGAACTTGAGACACCATAACTATGGATGGGTCCCTAAGGCACCGATCAGCTTGATCGAAGCACGGAAACAGGTTCCATTAAGCACTGATTTTCAGCGTGTCTGTAACTCCCTGAAACGACGTCTGACAATGAGTCTTCGAATCGACCGGGAACGTTAGTGGGTGGTAAGGTCCCATCAGATGGAGAAAGCCAGTGTGCTATTGGGAACAACCGAGTGCTATTCCAGCTCATCCGGAACATGGGTCTGAGAAAGCCAACACTTAACGAGACAATAACTGAGAAAGGCGGACAGTTGATTCATTCTTAACCTCGTCGACTAGCCCGTTGGGCGGAACATTTTGAAGAACAGTTCAGCAGACCTGCTGCGACACTGTCGCTTGCCGAATCACCTGAGCCGTCTTGAGAAGTAGATGTCACACCTCCCACTTTGGGAGAGATTCAAGATGAACTTTACGTTTTGAAACGACACAAAGCTCCTGGTCATGACGACTTTCCTCCATGTTTGATGAAGGATAGTGGACTCCGTTGACTGGAATTAATTTTCTATTTAACATGATTTGAAACATTGTAAAGGTGTCTTCAGAATGGCGACTGTCAACTGTCGTGCCCATCTTCAAGGGGCGGCGTAGTTTGTTCGAAGTCACTGACGCATTAGCTCTGTTTCCGTTGTCTCCAAACCTCGCACGCGGATCATTCTTCGACGACTTACTGGTCCTCGTGAGAACCGAATAACTGAAAGCCAGGCTGGTTTCCGCCCTGGTGATGGTTGTATGGACCACACATTTGCTCTTCGCCAAGCTTTAGAGCAGAGACACACATACAGACGACCGACTATGGTGGGATTCCTTGACTTGAAAGCTGCCTTGGACTCTGGTGACCACAACAGCTTGTGGCACTGCCTATCCATGAAAGGCGTGCCGGCTGAATTCCTTTACATTATGCAGTCTCTCTACCATGGCTCCCGAGGCCGTGTAGGGGTTTACGGAAACTGTCTCCTGAGTTCCACACGACGAGTGGGGTTGGCCAGCGTTGTCCTATATCTCGTTTCCTCAACTTTGTTATCGAAATGATCATGAACGACTCGATTCGGTCAGACTCCACCTGAGTGGAAGTTCTACCAGGTGACAAATATGCAGACTACATAGTTCTCCTTGGATCTGAAACAGTGGCTATGCAAGCACTACTGGACAGACTGACGCGTAGAGCTGAACGCTTCGGCATGTGCTTTGCGCCTTCAAAGTGCAAAGTACTCCGGTTCTAGCCATCATCGAGCAGCCACTGAATGTGGTGGATCGCTTCACTTACCTTGTTTACTGGGTTACCTCTGGTTGTCACATCATTGAGGAAGTCGCTCCGCGTATCAACAAAGCCCGTGTGACTTCCCAGAGACTCAACCATCTATGGAGACAGCAGAACATCAACCTGTCAGTGAAAGGTAGGGTGCATAACGCTGCGAACCGACCGGTCTTACTGTATGGATCAGGGACCTGATCAGTTCGTAGTGAAGAGCATAAACGCTTAACCGTGTCTGACCATCGGTGCTTGCGGAGTAATGCTCGCGTCTGGTGAGAACACCGGATGTGGTCCACCAGTTGGTTTTTGGCAAGAAATCTTCTGGTGCCTCACTCAAGTGTTCGTTAAATCTTGACCGCTTAGGTTGGCTAAGCGAAGCCCACCATATATTTATTGATCGGTCTCCTCAGCGTGCATTATACGCCGTGGCTGCCCACAAGTTAAGCGAAACCGCGAGGTGGCCAGCTCATGACATGGCATCGAGGCATGAAGAGATTGACTGAGAGACATGGTCAGGCTGGTGTGTGCCGTCTTCGTGGATGAAAGCCTCGGGACGGTCTACACCAATGGTTAAAGACCATGCCAAACATGGCGCAGTCACAAAGTTTCTGCAATCGGTTTCATCCAGTTGGTTGTTAATGTTCGTTACATTCTGACTGGTCCAACATATTTCCTTCTTGCTACTAATTCCTATGTCGGCCCGTAGCCTAGAGGTAACGAGCTTGTCTCGTAATCATGCGACGCGGGTTCGAATCAGCGTAGGGGTGGGCGTCCTCGCGGTATACTCAGTCCACGTGCGACTGATGGTGGTTGCACGGCAGCGAAGCGCCGTTATGGCGTACAGCGGACACATTAATATTATTTATTACTAGTTGCTATACATTCTATTCGCACCCAAACCCATTGTCCTGCCATTATTAGTTATGGCTATTCATTCACGTGATTCGTAGCAACTGGATGCACCGCACTTCGATCCTAGGACTATAGTTATTCAACTGGAATGAACTGTGGAAGCCACAGAGACATCAAAAGAAAACACATGATAGATCGTAGACTTGGAAGGAAACTCACTGACAGTGGTGTCTCACAGCGAGCGTGAGACAGGTTCCAAGTTGGTCAATAAGGGCGTCAGCGCTAAATCTGATCCGACTTTTCCTATCCTCCTGGAAAGCAAAAGTGAGCACATCAGAAGGAATGTGCCGCGCAATGCTTGTCATCACCGTAAAATGGGTTAATTGCAGATATATTGACGTCACAGAAAAATGAATCGAACTGGACAACCAGTCATATATGAAAGCGAATCCAGCAGCCAATTCAGTCGAAAAACGAGCGTGTAGTTGGAGAACCGCTTAACCTAGGAGACGGACCAGAGCGTCAGAGTGAAGAGGTGGTAGGAGACAAAATAGCGAAAGCGTGTCTAGTTCAGTTCAGCTAGTCAACCATAGTCCAAGCACCAGAGTGTGGGGAACTCGGTTGCACCAAATTACGCCCCTGGTAGTTAGCGACGATCGGGGAAAAGTTTTTTATGCTAGAAGAACAAACAAAAAGGCCAACGATGGAAACTTATTGAGCTGTCGGATGCAAATGCGTAGTTGCAAGCAAGGGATAAAATGTAGAATGCACCAGCCAGTTCAACATAAAAGGTCCAGGGGGTACATAAATGTTCGAAAAGTCCGAGAAAGGTCGAAACCGGTCGTGGAGTGGAGTGCTGTGAGCGAGCAACGCCCAAAATCAAAACTTAAGAAGCGGTCCCCAAATTAGAATGCCATGAGTTAAATTATGAGTAGGGGGATTTGGAAAGATCTGTTTGATTCATCGTAATCAGATAATAAGCCAGATAAGCTAACTATCCAAACGGAGGCACCAGACAGCAGTGTCATTTTTTTGGGACTCCTCGGTGGTGCGTATTTCCTCGGCCCTTCTTCAGAAAACCGAACTCAATGACCGCTAGTGGCTTGCATCACTAGCCAGGAGCTCAAGCCACTGAGCCATGGGGGACGATAGCCGACCATCATGGATTGAAATCTAACGGCGAGCTAGCCAAACGTGTCTTCCATTGTCAAGTGGGCATTAGCCCGTACAGAGGACAGTGGTCGGCCCTCAAGTGCCAGAACTTCACTTGCCAGTAACCGAGAAGCCAAACAGCACTTTGAAGACTGGTAGGGCTACGTTTTCTGTCAGTAATAAAGGGGACTGAAAGAATGCGCACCCCTGACAAAACCCAAAAGGACGAAACTACCGTCTGGTGCATTCCTAAATTGTTAGTAGATCTGGCTGGTTTGTAATCGGATTGCGATGAACTAAATAACTAGACCGGGGTTTACTTCAGAGTGAGCCGTGTTCACGGTTGACGTTATATCGTAACCTGGACATACAGCGGGTGCTTCAAACAGCAGGTACAGTTCATCTCTGATATCAGTCCACTGCATTTGTCAATTGCTTTATCCTTCAGTTGTCAAACTCCCCGGCTGGACTTGTCAGGGGTATGGATGTTGAAGGGTAAACACATCCTCAGATGATTGAGCATAGGGATAAGCGTTACTTGAACGCTAACAGTGATAATCACGAAACTGTAGTGCTCAGAACATGTAAAAGACAAAGCTTAATATGGAATGAGAGATGACAGTAAGTGGCAAAGAAAAAACGAAAACGGACTGAAGGGACGAGGTAGTGACAAGTGAAAAATCGACTATAAATGTCGAGCCGTAGATATAAGTAGGAGTACAGTTAGCAAATTTTGATTAGATCACTCGAGTGCGGTGGGTAAAGTTTTCATGACCCATGGCACCCTGATAATACAGGGGGAAATAACGAGCAAAAGGGGAACAAACGAAAAAAAATTCAACATACCAAAGGTGAAAAAAATGTGAAAGCCTCAAGAGAAAAGATCAATAGTAGAAAACAGAAGACGGAACGCAGATGGAATACTGGCCTCACGACTGGGTTACTTTGAGTGGAGTCTCTGAAGACAAGATGTCACCGATCTGGAAACCCAAGTCAGTAAAAGCGAGCGCACCAATTCCAGTTTATCGGTCAATTACAGCCATTTCACGGATGGGCTAGCACAGAGCTCAACTGCGCTACATGTGGAACCGCAACCAATACACAACGGGACATCCTGCAGACATTTGCACGAAAGTGATCTAGTAAAGTAGGCGGTTCATATACAAAGGAGAGTTTGGTGTCGTAATATAAAGGGTTGGTCAGCAAATCATCATCATCATCATCATTACAAGTTAGCTGGAGGTGGAAAACACTTCAGCTATTGTGCCGCAATACAAAAGGCAAGAAACGAAGAAAAAACAAAACAACAACAACAAACAGTGGCACGCCCGCTGAGTCCCCAGTAACGGATGGACATCGTTCCGGAGAGCTAACAGCTGGCTGCCGTAAAAGAAAGTCATATTATGCCAAACAATTGAGATCGTGATTGGAGGGGATGCTAAACAGGAGGGGGATGGACAAAGGAACTCACAACACAAACGCCATTGGGGCCGGCACCTAGCCATATCAGCAAGTGTGTCCAACCAAACGTGTTCACCGTCCTTAGGACCCCAACCAGGCAGTCGGGATGCACCAACCGACGCCAACTTCGAAGTGAGAGTTTTCATTTCTCTCGACCAAGTCATCACTTGGCCTCCCCTCCTCCTCTTCCAACCGCACCCACAACGCGTAAACAAAGCACGTCGTGGGAGTCGGTGTGCTGGCATGCGCAACACGTGGCCCAGCCATCGGAGCCTGGTGCGTGATATAATCGTGCTGAGCGGTTCACTCGCTCTTCCTGTACCAAATACGCGACGCCGAACACGCTCATTGCTCACGCGGTGTTCCCACCAGACATGAGCTAAGCTGCGAAGGCAGCGATGATCGAATGTGACGAGTCTCTTCATGTCTGTCGACCTGATGGGCCAGGTTTCACAGCCATATAGGAGAGTTGAACGGACGGCTGCGTTGTAAACTCTGCCCTTCAGGGCGAGAGTAATGTCGCGTCTGCGCCACAGGTGGCGGAGATTGGCAAAAGCACCTCGAGCTTTTGCTATACGGTTCGTAACCTCATCTTCAATCCCACGGGTGCTAATATAGCTGCCCAGGTACTTGAATTCCTGAACGACTTCTAGCAGATCACCACCAAGCGTTAGCGCAGGGTTGGGTCCCTGCCAATCTTGGAGAAGTACTTTGCATTTCGATGGAGCAAAGTATAGCCCAAAACGACTGACAGCCAGTGCTAATCGGTTCAGTGCTGTTTGGCATGTTTGGGAGCCGTCACAGATTAGGGCAATATCGTCTGCATACTCCAAGTCAAGAAGTCGCTCACCAGGGAGTAGCTCCACACCTACTAGCTCGTGTCCAGCGAACGCTGTTTCCATGACTTCATCAATAGCGAAGTTGAAGAGGAAAGGTGACAGCGGGCATCCTTGTCTCACACCGCTGGTGATACTGAAGGGTGGCGAGAGTTTGCCATAAACCCTCACCCTGCCCGAACTATGTGCGTACAGCGCTTTGATAATGTTTACATATTTATCAGGCACACCTTTCCTCAACAGACAGTCCCAAAGGGCACATCGATCGACTGAGTCGAAGGCACCTTTTATGTCAAGAAACACGACAACGGTGGGTCGCCAATAAACATGGCGGTGCTCCAACACTTGACGCAATGTGAAGATGTGGTCGATGCAGCCCCGACCTCGACGAAATCCGTCTTGCTCTTCACGAATCTGGCGTTCACGAGTGCCACTCAGTCTGTGGAGAATGAGAGAGGCAAGCAATTTAGAGGCAATCGAAATCAGACTGATCCCTCTATGATTGCCACATTCTAAACGGGAGCCTCCCTTGAAAATTGGGACAATGACGGAGCGGTTCCAGTCTGTCGGGACTGTCTCCTGCTCCCAAAGTTTTACTAGCAACTCGTGTAGATCATCTACTAGAGCAGGTCCACCGAATTTGAAGAGGGCTGGAGGAATCGTATCTGCTCCTGCGGCCTTATGCAATTTCAACAGCTTGATCTCACATTCGACTTCTGCGCGTGAGGGCGGATCCAAGGAGACGGCCCAAGGAGAAGGGCGCTCAATGCCCGAAGAAGAAAGCGATAACTCAGGTTGGTTAAATTGCATAGCAAAGTGTTCAGCCCAACGCTCCAAGCGTTTTGACAGGCTGTGGATCATCTGCCCACTCTCGTCGCGTATGGTCTCGCTAACACCAGGTCTTCTGCTGCCTGTTGCCCGGATCAGACGGTATAACTCACGATGATTACCAATGGCAGCGGCAGTTTCCATCTCAAAGGCACGATGAGACCACCAGGTTTCGCGGTCCTTCTTTAGGCTAGCACGTAGTTTCGCCCTGAGATTTTTGCGTGCTTCATTGTATTCGCTTCCAGCCGGAATACGTCGGCGAGCATCCATAAGTTCGAGAGACTGTGTAGAGACCCAATGTCCGGTTTTGCAATTTGTTTTGCCACATGAAGACATGCCTGCTAACAGCAACGCTTGACGAGTATGCGACCAGTGATCTTCAACGGTGTTTAGTGGGCGCTTACTCAGCCCAGATGTCAGCGCATCTTGGTACACATTCAGAACATCTGACTTCGCAAGCTGGCTAGTGTCAATCCGTTCACATCGACGTTGCGGACGTCCACCGAAACGCATCAGGAGGTCGGCACATACAAGTGCGTGGTCAGAGTCCACGCTCGTGCTCCAAATCGAGCGACAGTTTTGGACACAGCCTCTCCAGCGGTAACTGATCGCGATATGATCGATTTGCGTCCATGACTGGCCCGAGGCTGGTGGCCGCCAAGTCACACTTCTGCGGGTGCTGTGTCGAAAGTTAGTGCTCGCGAGAAACAGGCGAGCATCTTCACACAGCTGGAGCAATCGCTCACCATTATCATTACGGGAGCCTACACCATGTTGGCCGCCCAGATGAAGCTCATCAGAGGACAACTTTCCGACTTGGGCGTTTAGATCGCCAGCCAGCACCACAGTATCCGTACTCCTTCTGTAACGAAGGAGCTCGTGAAGTTGCTGATAGAAATCATCTTCTACCGAATCAGTGCTACAGTTTGTAGGGGCGTAGGCCGCAATGACAAACAGGCACCGTTTGTCCCCGCGCGACTTCGAAGCACGGAACGAACCAGCTAATCTAACGGCGCACATTCTACTGTTTACTGGGATCCAATCAAGCAAGGCAGCTTCAGCCCGGGGACTCAAAACAATGCCGACGCCAGCTTGACCGGCATTTGAAGCTGCATCATCGCCAGATAGGCGCAATGAGAATGTGCCGCCAGTGTCGCATGTGGGGGATCTCAGGGTAAGCACGGAGCTCGAACCTTGCAGGCGGGTTTCTGATAAACAGCAAATATCGATCGATAGGGTCTCTAATGTGCGGTCAGCAAATACTAAATTGTGAACAAAAAATATTGCTTGCGCGGCGATCCCGCTAGAGATAGGTGATTTTACGGAATTCCAGATGCATGAAGATGACTTGACTTGTCCCCTAATGTCTTGAAGGTGCACTTGCCAACCGTGGGATACGCATAGGAACACCTCAGTCGCTATGGCGCACTGTACACTCCATATTTAGTTAATAGGTCGCTATCACACCGTTTCCATAGATGAGTCGAGCCTTCAGAAGCCACAATGGGTAACACGTCTACTAACAGGCAAATCGATTATCTGGTAAGAGAAGCCATTCAATGAATGTGGACGAAAGTCATGTCAATGCAACGCTGCAGTAGTAGCCTGCACGTTGAAAGTGCGAAGCATGACACCCGCTGGGATGGATTAGTAGAACTACAAGGAGACACGTTGTGGATGTTAGTTCATGTCTCCAGGAAGATAGAGGGATGAGTGTGAGGACCAATGATTGAGTATATCACATCAATCTGACTGTGCCAGAACGACAACCCATTGGATCGTTTACTTTTTCAAGTGTGCGTGTGAAAAATGGGGCCACTGTCCGAGTACGGCTCGACATCCGTGGGTAGGTGATGTCGATACATACGCTGCAAGTGTGGGGCAGTGACTACAACAGGTGGTGTAAGCTTAGAAGGACAGTACTGCACTTGGCCTGTAAGAATGAGAACACGATGGAGACGATGGAGGGTGGGTCAAAAACTATTGGGCAAATTAATGCCGATGGCGGTGAGCAGCGAGAACCGGAGAGTACAGGTGGGTGGGCATCCTGATTGGCTCACAAATCACAGAAATGCAAGCGGTTCGAGTTGCGATGCGGTTGGTACCCGGTGCAGCCGGTTAGGATGGTGTCAGATCAACTATGGATGAAGAAGCAATGCGAGGGGGGGGGGAGGCTAACAAAGTTACGCAAACAACAGTAGGTCACTGGCAAGAGGGTTAGTAATTATAACTCGTAACAGTAGGATGTCTTACACAGAAACGAAGCAGTTAAGCATAAGGAAAGTACTGCAGAGAAGTAGTGAGCAGGGGAAAAGTGGGAACCAAGGAGACAGAAACGTACCGCAACACTCAAAAGGCAAGTCAAGAGTTGCTCGATAAGATTGTTGGTACGCAAGGGTATGTGCATGACTGAATCAGCAGCCGACTGATCCTCAGTTAGAATGGCCAAATATTTCAGCTGGACGCACAGGAAACACTTCCATCGACAGGTGGCGTCATGAAGCGAAGAGAAGTGGGACTGCCACATCGTCTGTTGTTCATCTGTAGAGAGTTCGGAATGGGAGGCGCTGTGCCGGAGAAAGTCGATTCGCTTGTTTACCAACTAAAATAGTGAAACGGAGAGATGGTCATGGCTCACAGTTGGAAATTTCGTAAGAAAGTGAACAAGGGTTTTTGTAGTTAATTCAAATTCGAACGGTTATCGTAGAAATTTGGTAGGATGCAGTAAACGAGGTGCAGTAAATTTTGGCAAAGTGGGTTACAGGGTGATGCTGATCAGAATAGTGAAAAACATACCCCAAACCACGATGCGCAGCTATCTTTGTCATTCAACTGTTTCACGATTTGCCACAGATCGTTACTGGGTTTAGAGTCCGTTTGCAGTCTATGGATAAAGGAAACGAGATGAATAAGGCTTTCGGCAATAAAGTGCGTAAAAACAAAGCCCGTGATGGAAAGTACCGTGATTGGCACAAAGCCAAATAATCGCCAGTGAAGCAAACTGGAGCTGGGGCATTTTCGTGAAGACACATACAGCACAACCGTGCTTAAGCACGGGACGACATTGAGTCTAGATTTAACGAAAGGAAACTGTAGTTTTACGTGACGAAATACCCAAGACGAGGAGCCGGGTGACGAGATGAGCTGTTCAAGGAAAGAAGTATGGGAAGAAAGTAGGCGGTGGAAGGAGAATTCCAACCGAGGAGAGTAAACGAAAAGATGTCGTAAGTGATGTCCAAGAAATGGGTGATCGATTGATACAGTCGAGAACTCACGTGAATGAATTGAACAAAGCCAAACCGATCACGCTAATGATGTGACCGCAGACCTCATTTTCAACATTGGAAAGTGAAGGCTAGAGTAGAATGTGGGAAAAAGAGGAATAAGTATCGGAGGATCAGTAAGAGCAGAAATTGCAAGGTAAAGGGGCACGTAAAGTGACATAACGCAGTCGCTGACATCCGGGATCATCTTTCATCAATTTGATCGCGATTAACATAGCCTATTTAGAATGGTGGAAATGAAATTCCGAATCGTTATGGCTACGAAGAGCGATAATTAACCCTCTTCTCTTTCCATCCCCTGGGTCAACATGGGTGCACGGTACCGAAGCACCAATTCTACCTACTGATGTACTACTGTTGACGATGATGGTGGTTACGCAGAAATATGTTTAACCTGACTTTGCTTTATTGTATGAGCTGCATTTGGAGTCCAACAGTCTAGGCTTCAGTTTCAAGTTGCGAAGTATTGTGCGACACGAAACAGTGAGAGGATACTTTGCACCAGTTTCGAGTTCCGCTAAAGCTTCCATACAAATAAGCCATCTCCGGAAATTAGTAATAGCAGTAGCCTCCATCAATTTAAAAGGATGATAAAGAAGCACCTGAATGTTGCTAACATAATATTTGGCCGCAAAATGAGCTGCGTAAAAATAGTAATGAAATTCTGTGAGATTTGGTGCCATGGTTAGTTACATAACATTGATTTCAGTTTCTTCAACATTGATTTCATTCTTTGATAACAGCGATTTTCCGCACAACTGCCTCTATGAAGCTGGATATTTGGTGATGCGTAGAGGGGAACATTTTGGCTACAACGTCGCGGCCCTGTTACTCAGAACCATGGATAACCGTGGAAGTAAGCTAAACGTATGCACTACGACAGATAGGACCAAAGAGTATTTACATTCGATTCCCTTCTTCTCTACTACTTCCAGCCCTATCTCGATTTTCACGGAATTCAATGAATGATGATGTGGAAGTGAAGAGTTGTGTGAAGCGACAGCTTTAGGAGCCACGATCGTTCTTTCAATATTTTACTCGGAGATTGCCCAGTATGCACTCGCGAAAGTATCACTACATCGGTCGACCGGATGGGTGAGTGCTGCCCTGTCATCTACGCTCCCGAACTCAATTTTTATTGGACTCAATGACTGAAGATGCGCGTTTAAATCGTAATTGCATCAACAACACTTCTTGCTAATATCCAGCTCCCATTTCCGTCGAGTTCAAGTTGCCTCAGATTTGTATCGCACATAACCCTCTCTCTCTGACGGTACTTTGCTTCTCATTGCTAATATACCGTATACTACCGAATATAAGTTGATAATTTTTGGACAAGTTTTCATTTTTATAGTGACGGTAGGCTTATAAAAAGGTAAAATGTAATTTGAAAAAGTCATGCAAATCCACCCACGAAATCACTGCACTCCTCTGTCCCTATCTCTATTTAGCACACCACCGGCTAGTGACGGACGGTGTCTCATGGATCATGTACCATCGTGTCAGCGCTATTTTGGGCAGTGAATCAAAAGCGCGCATAAACTACGGTCATCACAACAGACCAATAGTATGACGGGTTTGGCTTGAAAACATTCAAGTGAGAGCGGATAGTGATGACGTCAAGATTATGGAGAAACAATTTCGCGTTTCTGTTTTTGCTGACTTTTGGAATTGGTCGGCTAATATAGGAATTTATGAGAGTATCCATGAAAGGGCTTATATTCAGGAATACACGGTACTTAAACGTATGCTCAAATATATAAGTTGTACCGCGTAATAAGTAAATCGTGTTTCTGCCATCGATGGTAAGCTAATCTTTATAATCGTTACACCACACTGATGGTCAATCAACGGAGTTATACTTGTTGTTAACCTGGCGAAACACGCAGTAAACCTTCAATGTAAGTCCAATGAATCACAAGCAGAACACGAACTCACATCTTCCTATCCCCATCTGTGTGCGATATTTGCAACTGAGCGTGAATCTCCTAGTGTCAAGCTTCGAAAACTTTTAGAGAAAAATTGTGTTCACATCAGTTATTCTCATGAGCGTTACTTTCATCATCCGATGTAATGCGCAAAGTATGTAGATTTTGTGCATGAAGTATTCGTTCAAATATCGACCCAAGTCAGTAAAATCCGACGTACCCCTTTGTGGACACAGCCTTTCGAGAGTCCAGGAAATACACAGAGCATTAGTAATAGTAGTGATACCAGTAAACGCAAACGGAGGCAACAGAAGCGTGTGTGGCATACCGAACTCCAGACATTTCATAATCCCAATTCATGGTAGGAAATAGTTTTCGTGAAAATGAATCAATACAGACTGTGCGATAAAAGAATACTGAGGAAATCAACATACACCGATTAAATGTGGCCGTTAAATGAGAATAGAGTTACTCAGTTTCCGAGCCCAACTACGGTGAGCTTGTTTGTTAACTTTCGAATTGACGAAGGGCAGGCTGTATAATTCCTAACGAACCCAATGGAATGGTGTACAAGACACAGTAATTCAATCCAGTTGGGACTACACAACAAGGAAACCTAAGAAGGCAAACAATTGCAAGAAATTTTTTTTAGTTACCTTATTTGCAGCAGTTTCTAAGACGGTAAATAGTGGGCACACGAGGAGCTCCCAAAAGTCGGGGCTGAAACAAAAGAGCAACAGAACCAGGTGACAAAGATCCTGAACAAAGGCGGAGGAATGTAAACGACAGAGAGTGCAGACATTGAAAGGTAAATGGACAGGTAATTGTTAAATGGGTTTCTTTTCGGTTCAATGTTGTTGATGAATCACAAGCAGAGAGAGGTATGGTTGGCGGCATCCGGTTCCGGATTTGCCTGTCACTGTAGTCTCTAAAGAAGGCCTGCGCCTACAGAGGGAGCATGAGTGGCTTGCGCTGCACCACGCACAGCTCCAACCACACACCCCCATATCAAGCGTAAACCCGAAGGAATAAGACCGAGAGACATGTGGATAGGAGTTATATCTCATCAACGGAGCCGGCGCCCATTCCTTCACAGGCAAACATAAGCACGATGTATTTGGGGAATCAAACGCACACAAAGCGGTGACTAGACCGCTACAAACTGAGTGCATAGAATCATCCTTCTAGTCTAGCACGGTCATGAGGACCGTGTGCCCTGTCCTCTCCAGCAATGACCAACTGTCTTCTGGAGACAGTATGGATGAGGTAGTGGAAAGTAGACAAGTACGCAACTTGTCAACATGCACATCAAGCGCAACCACACCGGGGATATCGAGCAGAGAGAGGCATAAACATCTGGAATAATAGTGTAGAGCCCACGGTTGCTTATCCCAGTGAGAGCACTAAGTCGGAGTATGAAGCGTCACTCACGAGGCACATTGTCATAGATGATGGTAACCAAAGAGCAGGCCGATCGGAGTATGCGAATACGGAGCGAAGAGTGTACGAGTGGAGTGGTGGTTGTGTGCTCAGAGTTGTTGCCGTAGTTGAACTGAAGCTGATAACAGCGACGTTTACTAGGTGAGCAGAAGTGAAGTGTGAAGTAAGGGCCGAAAATGGAAGTAATTTATATATCATATATTGCAGTATAGGCAGATAGACCGTGTGGCGATGGTGTCTACCCTCGCGGCGCTTTTTGCGGATATTTACCTAGCCAAGCTTGAACGTGGACCACTACAGGCAGTAATCTGTTCGTTCGATGCACAGTGGAGGTACATGGATGATACCTTTATTGTCTGCGACTCGAACATCGATGTTACTTGTTTACTACCTCAGTTCAACGGTACGCATCCTTCAATGCACTTCACAAGTGAAATGGAAAATGATGGCAAGCTAGCCTTTTTGGATGTATTGCTAAAGCGACATGAGGATGGGTCATTTGAAAGAAGCGCCTTCCGGAAGGCTGCATGGGTAGGCCAGTACACCCACTTTCTGAGTTTTGTACCGTTGAAGTACGAACGAAACTTGGTTAGTTGCTTGTATTATCCCGCGGCCAAAATCTGTAGCCCGGAGATATTGGGAGAAGAAGAGGACCGCACCGTTCGAACGCTGATGCGTTCAGCCAGAATTGCGCAAGCAAAGGGCTCTTGTCCAAGCCCTAGCGTGGAGAAATAAATAAGCGGCCCAGAGGAGTATTCATATGACAAGAGACAATTATAATAAATATACCACAAGCAAAGCAAATGAAGGATGAGAGATGCTTCGAAGGCATATGGGTTACAGCCGCTGGACCCGCGTGAGAGAACGGTGAGAAGGTAAGACGGCGGGGTAAGCTGGATGAAAGTTACAAGTGACACAGTACATGAATGGTCATTCAATGGGATCCATTGGAATAGGTTGTCACCAGAATTTCTATTTAGGGCAACTTAAACCAGGGAAAAAAGCAAGCGAAGGGGTTCCGAACTCAAAATTTTTATAAAGTGTATGACTCCCAAGGGTAGAAGTCAGAAGAAGTCATCAGCAGTACGCCAGTATGCATCACCGACGCTTCGCTACCGCAAAACCACCAGTTGCACGTGGGCTAAGGATACTGCGAAGGTGGCGCGGTCTCTATGCAGGCTCGAACCCGCGCCGTCAGATCACAAGGCGGGTTTGTGATCTTTAAGATTAATGGCCGGATAAACGAAATTATGGTTGTAGGACTCCAAGCGAAGCTTTCAGCTTAGTAGGTTAACTCACAATGCAGTGGGGAACAGACCAACCAGAGGATCAACTAGAGGCTAGTTATGTGTGGCAACGGGAGAGTTAGGACAACTGAGGTCACGATAAAGTGCAATTATACGGGGATTACATGCCATTCGTAGGTTCAGTTTATGTAAACTAACCAACCATGAGCAGAGCGTTGGTATGTGGTAGAACCAAATGACACGACACACAACACCATGATGACAAAAATGCCGAGCAGTATCATCATCATCATCAACATCACATTAGCAATGTGGACTGATGCTTCCCTGTCAAAAAAGGTGATCTACGGAACAAAAAAATAATAGAATGGAGAGAAGAGGGAACTAGCATGAAACAATAATGCCGTACGCAAACATTAGCTGGCTTGCCAAACTACCTCCTCGTGATGCCAGCTGGGTAATTCGGGAATTTCCCGTTCCGGCGAAAGGTTCCGTGAGTGTACCAGGACGTGGTGGGTTTTCGCCTGGCAAGCGTTCTCCTTATAAAAAGTCACATAGGTCCGTTTAACACCACTGCGACGTGGTGGAAGTGACTCGCCACTAAGTAAGGTCACTGCCCTTTGGTCCGCCTCGCTGGAGCATTGTAATCTTTTAGCTGGACGTTGAATTACTGGGAGCATTGAGCTTTTGTTTGACAGCCCGCCAAAAGAAAGGCGTATGAACCGAGAAATCGGCCACCGGCTACCAACGGGCGCGATTTCCTGAATTCGCCCCATTGTCTTGCGAGTCAGATCCCTATGACCGAGGGGTGCCCTTCCTCGGCCTGGGCAACCGGGAAACTGTAGGCTCACACAACACATGAAATGATAGATTCAAGACTCTCTGCTCACGATTCTCGCTCTCCGTATTCTCTCTCTTTGGCCGAGGTGCTAGCGGTCGGACATGCTAAACCTCGCTCTAGCGCACCGCAAACTACCTTCATGGTTCTACGTTTATTCAACCCTGCTGGTCTTAGCAACCACCCTCCCATTTTGAGTCTCCAAAAAGGCAGTGCTAATAAAAATAGTTATTTGGGCCTCATCGAGGAACCGCTCAAAACCGATTGTACGCAATCCAATTCCACCAACAAGGCTTTTATTTTACCCAGCTCGCTCTTCAAGCTACCCATATTCAATGTTCGAATGCTTATGCAGAATGGATCATAAGATGATCTTGAGCTCACCTTGGAAACTCTCTCCAGCGATGTTGGCTGCCTAACCGGAACCCTTTTACAGGACTCTAGCACAACGTTGCGATTCCTCTCACCATCCTCAGGTTCCGATGGCACATTCCATTTGCGCTTATCTGGAGATGCGAGAGCGGCAGCCTCCGGTTAAGCAGGTGTAGAAGTTGCATTAAACGCATGCTGTGGCAGCGTTCATTGACTAGTTCCCGGTCAACAGATGTCTTTGTGTAGTCCGCTTGGAAAGCTCAGTGCGATCTTCCAGCCACGGAACCAGTTAGCGCTGCTCATCCATTGTGGCGACGTACGGTCCTAAGGACTGCAACCCGGATGGAGCTAAAGACGAGTTCTACCGCCAACTCACCGACCTCATTCGGAAGAAACGCCGCACGGACATCGCTGTACTCGACGGAGACCTGAATGTGCAGGTTGGTAGACTAGAGGTTCATGAACGCGAATTTGGTGGTCAACACAGCCACGGTACTCGCAGGACGGACAACGGCGATCGACTCCTTCAACTGTGCGCCGATCACGACTTGTGCGTTACGAGCACTAATTTCCAGCGTTCCTAGCGTCAAGGAGCCACATTGCGACCTCCGGCGCCTGGTCAAGCTTGGACGCAGATTGACCACATCGCTGTTAGTTACTGTTAGCAAGGCTGCCTAACGGACTGTAAGTCAATTTGGAACACATACCTGACTTCTGATGATGCGCTCGTGTGTGCTAAAGTCGTTCTGCGCTTTGGAGCCACCCAACAGCGTCACCAGAAACGGCTTGACACAGACAAACTCGCCGTAACAAATATTCACGGCGCAGTTCAGAATTTATTAGACTCTAACCTGCGGTCTCTATTTTCTGAGGTTGAAACACACTGGGCGCAGATTCAGAGTGCCTTATGAAAGTCTGCTATCTTGGTCTGTGACTTACCTAGACGAAGTGGAAAGCTCTCGAACAATTCCCGGCGGAGTTGCGTATCACGCAATACGCAGAACCACAGGTGTTGAGATCAGAAAGCCTCTCAGGAAGGATCGCGAGGTCTGGTGGACACAATACGTCGTTGAGATGGAGCGAGCAGTCTCATCAGGAAATTCCCGCAAACTCTTTCAACTTATTCGGTCCGTGGGAAGCAGAAGGCTAACAGTGATTGAGGTTTTACGTGAAAATGACGGCGAACTACTTCATAGTCATCCCCGTCGTCTGGTACGATGGGCAGGGCATTTTGAAGACCATTCCATCTGGCCACCAGCACAACTGAGTCCATCTTCAGGGATTCCCAATGCTCCCTAGTGCGTTGATGTTTCTCCACCGACTGAGGATGAGGTTTCCTATGAGCTTCGCCTACTAAAACGCCACAATTCACATGACCCAGATGAAGTTCCTTCTGCCCTCTTCAAATATGGGGGTTCAGCTTTCACCCGTGAACTGACATCTCTCTTCCATCAGAGCTGGACTATTGAAACCATCCCATCCGACTGGAAATCGGCAGATGTTGTATCAGTCTACAAAAAGGAGACCGGACCGTTTGCTCCAACCATCGTGGCATCAATCTCCTTTGAGTTGCCTCCAAACTGCTTGCTGCCCTACTCATACAGAGGTTCCGTTGGGTACGGGAACAGCAAGCTGGATTTTGCCCAGATCGCAGTTGCGTCGATCACATCTTTACGATCCGACAGATACTTGAACACTGCTATACGTTCAGTCGACCAATCATAGTCATATTTTTGGACATTCGGGACGCGTTTGACTCTGTTGACAGAGTGGCCCTTTGGGACTGCTTACTGAAGATGGGAGTACCTGAGAAGCGCATCAGC